GGAATAAGTTGGACACTGCACGGATCTACCCATTAAAGTTAGATAAAAGTTGTATGATATTTACATAAAGTAACTAATTTGTTTTAATATTTAATAGAATAATCATAGCAGAATGTGAAAGAGAGGAGACTGGCCACATATATGCAAGGAATTGGATGAAAACTGTCTGAATTTCTAAAATATTCTTCGGTTGTATCACCAGTAGGCGAAATTAATTTCTGCCAAGTGGATGGAGTCCAAAAATTGTTTGATATTTATATAAAGCAACCAATCTGTTTTAATATTTAATAGAATAATCATGGAATAATGTGGAAGAGCAACAAATTTGCAAGGAATTGGAGTAAAACTATCGGCTGTTCAAGAAATTTCTAAGATATCCTTCGGTTGTATCAATCATTTTTAGTACACTGTGGTAAGATCAAAAAACAGTAACATAAGATAAATCTTAATGATAAACTGTCATAGTTACGAACAAGACGAAGAGATGGTATTAAGCACACGCCTGTGAGCAGCATCATAAACTTTAGACAATCCCAGGTTGGTTTATGTAGTAGGAGTAATGCAGAGGAAAAATGTATAAGAAGGCCAATAACCCCAAAAGATGCAGGGTCTTAATAAGTTAGTTAAAAACCAGTAATCTCATTTAAATACGTGGAGTGGAAAGTTTAGGATCACCCAGACATAAAAATATGCTCCAATTTGGACTGAAGAAATATGTACTTCCATTTAGTAATCCGACATTATATACAGCAACTCTCTGACAGCTCACAATAACATAACGGTAATTTTATACAATCATATGGTCACCATGGGTGAGCATGCCGTACTCATATACGATAATATCATTTTTGACCAGCAGTTTTTGCTTGACCAGTACCCGGTATTTATAACTGGATCGAAGGACGAGGTTGAACGGCGTATCCGAATGCATAAACCAACTCTATTTCCATTACAGAAATGGAATAACATCGATCAAAATGTGATTCTTACACAAACATAACTAAATGCATGTCAAGAGTTGCAAAAATGAAGACCATGAGGATAATGAGCAAAGACTTGATGGGACATAATTAAGAACTCTGACATAAGAAACCAATGGGACCCAGGATAATGTTTAATGGTTAAGACTGCTCAAGAAATTATGTCTCACGTCAGGACAATGTCAGATAACTACTGAAAATTGTGTTTGCAAAAATAGTTTCACTAAAAATATGGGGATAGATATTTCGAAAGCAGATCTTATCATGGAAAACATACCCAATGGTCTAGAGAGAAATTGTGGAAGAAGAAAACAATAATTGAAAGTATTCTTTAAAAAAAAGAAGACGTTTTATTTACATGATATGCAAATAATATTTTCATTAATTTCCACACAAAGCAAATATCTAATATAAACAATTATTTTGAAGCATACAATTCGTATTATCTGATTTGTAGCGGCTTGGATGCAAATGAGATGTTTAATGTGATTCGAATTAATTTCATTGCTTGTTTTGAGGAGTGTTTTCCAAATACAAATAATGATGGATTAAATCATCTGCGATTCAATTATAAGTTCATATGTGACACGTATGAAAATGTAAGATAACGATTTGTTGGTTCTGAGACAGCAGACGAAGCATCATTACTTACATGCTATCAAGTTGTCAAAACTTGAGACATATAGTAAATTTATAAACGCTTCCAGCAATAAATCCAAAACCATGTAGAGTTTGTAGACATTTTTCAGTAAAATCAAATCTCTTCCATCAATAGTTTAATACTTTTACTAAAGATATTCATTATCATGCTGCGCATTATCAATTTTTGATGAAGATATTTCTAAAGCTTTTGATTATGTTTCTAATAGTGTACTTCTACAAAAACCTACCACACTATTTAACGTCAACGAGCGGAGTGCACGGCTAATTAAATTAAACCTCTCGGATCGATATCACCGAGTTAGTATTGTTAACAGAGTCGTTTTTTGAAGTCTTCTTGTGCTTCATCAAGACTCAATCTTGAGTCCATTGTTATTGTTTTTATGCTTTAATTCCTATTTGTATATTGAATGTTTATTGTATGATTATGACCCCATTTAGTCAATATGCAATGAAATCACAACAGAGCGTTGTCCATATTGTTGCTGATCTTGCGCATCTCCACAATTGTCAACAAACCTTAATTAATCTCCTCATTATGACATTACCATTAGTGGAATTATATATTGTATGTTATATTTGATAGAAAATATCAATAAGAAATGGCATAGTGATTTTTTTGTTGAATGTGTTCTTTGATGTAGAAGGATTTGTTCTTAGTAACATAATAAACTTGCTTTCTATTATTGTTAGACATAATTTTAAGTTTTTACAACCCACTCGTTTGTGCACCATTGTTGTTTTGAATGAAAAATATCAAAGACTCCCCAACTCAAACGCCAAGCTATCATTAAAAGAAGTCAGAAATAAGGAGTTATTTAACCACAAAGATACCGAATTGGTGTCCGTTTTATATCAAGTTATCTATTATTCTTTCCATCTTTTCATAAAAATGGGGTCAACCTTCGTTTGTAATTATAAAAAAATACGGATCAAAACATTTTTAGCTTTTTAAAGCAAAATCGATGTTAAACCAACTAAAATCCCACGGTTTACAGACGGAAATGATGCAGTTTTTTAATATTGCCAAGCCGAAACAGCATTCGAATTCGATAATTTAAAGTTCAAAGCGGCTTCGTGCAATAATACACAGAGCTGAGCGTATCCCTATGATTTACCATAAAACGAAAATGTGTTCGATATTCGTTGACAACTCAAAAATGTGACGTTTTGACTAAACGTCAGATACGTTGAACTTCTAATTCTTAATTTCATATACATACATAGATTAGAATAAATCAATTGATGTAATCAATCGGAAATAGATGCATTTTAAATTTTATTCATAAGATATTACTGTTTCTTTAAATTTCTTTTTTAGGATTGACTCTGAAGAGAGTTGTGAAAACAATTATGAACTACTTCATGTTGGTAAAATGTCAAATTTTTGAGGTATTCACGAATGTTATAATATAGTTTGATTTGATTTTAATCGCTTTTTAATCTTTTATGGTAAGTAGAACACGTTATATTCTATTTTATGATGATATTTAAACAATTATAAAGCATATTCTTTTAGTTTCAATCGGCTTTCAAGTGAACACAACGAACATAACCTCAATCACGTATCAATGTTATATTAAATTATGGACTATAACGATTATAATCATCAATATATGTTTCATCAATCATCAAGAGTAGTTGAGTATTATTATCAGAGATGTTAGCTGTGAAAACAATTATGAACAACTTCATGTTGGTGAAATGTCAAATTTTTGAGGTGTTCAGAAATGTCATAATCTACTTTGATTTGATTTAATACGTTTTAATCGCTTTTTAACGTTTTATTGTAAGTGGAATGCGTTATATTCTATTTTATGATGATATTTAAACAATTATAAAGCATATTCTTTTAGTTTAAATCGGGATTTAAGTGAAAATTGGTCAACAAGACGAACATAACCTCAATGACGTATCAATGTTATATTAAATTATGGACTATAACGATTCCGTGGAAAGTTATCAACGATTATAATCATCAATATTATATGTTTCGTCAAGAGTAGTTGAGTATTATTATCAGAAATGTTAGCTGTGAAAACAATTATGAACAACTTCATGTTTGTGAAACGTCAAATTTTTGAGGTGTTCACAAATGTCATAATTTAGTTTGATTTGATTTAATTCATTTTAATCGCTAATGGTAAGTGGATCATGTTATATTCTATTTTATGATGATATTTAAACAATTATAAAGCATATTCTTTTAGTTTCAATCGGCTTTTAAGTCAACACAATGAACATAACCTCAATCACGTAACAATGTTATATTAAATTTTGGACTATAACGATTCCGTGGTAAGTTTTCAACGATTATAATCATCAATATATGCCTAATTAATCACCAAGATTGGTTAATTATTACTACCAGAGATGTTAGAATGGAAAAAATGAAAACCTAACCTCGAAATTTTCACAAAAATGATTTCCTATTTACTTCAGCGTTATATTCAAATCATTAATATCCTAGAAGATGAGTGGAACGTCCAATTATAAACGTAATTAACACTGGAAATATTTACGTTTAATTTTATATTTATTTTTTTCGTAAAGTAAAACCTAATTTGTGGAAGCAATCTCGAAGTCTATTGATTCTATCTTTATAAAAACCCATTTATATTGATATATTTTATTGATTTGCGATATCATCAAAAAAGATTGTTCTCAATTCTGCTTTTAATTTGGTAAATAAACTTAAAATCTACTTCCAACGCATAAAATCGAAAGTTAACTTAATTCAAAGTTTATTCTTACTGAAAGAAGAACCGATAATTAAATGTTGCAATCGATTAATTTAATGAAATTCTTGTACTATTAAAATTTTCAATAATTTTTAAACAAAATTTGCTTACCAAATAACGAAAGTTAAAAGAATGGTGAAGGAGCCGGGTTTTAAAACATTTTCATTAAAAATTTAAAGATTATTCAACTTAAAATTCAGCACGGTTATTTTTAGAATACGAAAAGTACGTTTTAGGTACGCTTTTTTAACTTAAATAAAAAATTGTTTGTTTTATAAACGATTCTGAATAAATAAAATCACTAAATGGTATTTATTGAACAACAAATCAATGTTGTGTTAGAAATTTCGAATGATTATTTTTTAATTAACACAATGATTTTTGTTTTAATTCTTTGATTTCTCGTAAATAGACTTAAAAAATAATCCTCTCGTAACAGTAAAACAAGACCTCAGAAAGCGTAGATACGCATCACCCATCTCTTTTATCCTATCCCTCTCTCTCTCTCTTTTCAACCGCCCCCGCCTTCATAAACCCCCAAAAACTTGCTCTCGCTCTTCGTTCTCTCCCCCAAAAACCCTCACTCAGTTCTCTCGTCGAAAATCCTCTTTGACCCTACCTTTATCGGAATCGTCTTTCTGCCTCGTCCTCTTCCTCCTCGTCTGGTCGCATAGGGTCGTCTTGCACTAGGTGCTTCTACTGCTCCTGGGGCGCTGTTCGTTGGGGGCCCCGCTCGTCGGCGGGGTCATCGGGACCCCGCGGATCTGACGAACTAGTTTAATTTTTTTTGTTTTTTCGTTCTTTTAGTGTTGGGCGACCACCGACGGTAGTCGTCGTCGTGGTGGTGGCGGCGGCGTCGACGTAACGGCGCTACACGCGTCCCGGCCGTCGCCTCGGCCTCCGGTCTCGGTACGGGGGGGCTGGCGTCGCAACGCGGCGCACAACATCTCGCAACGACGTCGGCCCGTCTACTGCAGCGCTCGGGACACAAACCGGGATTCGACAAACCCCACAATTCTCCTCTATATAGCTATCCCTCTTTCTCTAACATTCTCGTCATATTTAGCTTTTTCTCATTTCTTGCAGATAAATCTACTAAATACACCTTCAAAATAAACTATCAATAAGTTAAAATATTTATATAAATGTAGTTAAACTTTTTTATGAAATTTTTTTTAATCTATCTTTTTTACTTATACACAGTTATACCTTATTATAGCTGCCAAAATAGTGAAAAACGTTAGTGAAGGTGTTGTTAAGAATCCTAAATGTATTACTGTTGATACAAAAAAAGAAGTTATAGCTAAATATGAAAGTGGTGTTCAGCCAAGGAGTACAACATGGCGAAATCGATTCTAAAGAATAAAGATGCTGAAGAAAGCTTATGCATCTAAAGACCATACAAATATTGAAGGAGACCTTGATTCTGCATACAAATTTATTAAGATCGAATTTCTGCCACCTAACACCACATAGGCAATGGATCAGGAAGTAATTTCAATCTTTAAGAAGCTATATACGAAAACACTTTTCTGCGAGATTTCTGGAAGAATCATTTTAATATTATCCACTGCATAAATTTCATTGACAAAGTCTGGTTCAATGTCTCTTGCCATACATTGGCAAGCCATACAGTCAGCATGGAGAAAATTTTGGGCAGCTTTTCTGCCTGACAGACATTTTAACGACTTTGAGGAAGAGGCAGATGTGGTACAAGATATTGTTAATATTGGCAAAAGTTTAGAGTTCGAAGTCAACGAGGATGATGTGGTTGAGCTGCTACAGGATCATGGCCAAGAACTGACTCTAGAAGAACTTATGAAATTGCAACGTGAGCAATCTATGGAGTAGGAGTATTGAGTAGCTTCAACTACGGAAATAAAGGATAGTTGCAGTATGTGGAATAATGTGCAGGAGTTTATTGAAAAAGATCAACCTGAAAATACTGTTATCAGTAGAGCAGTGGAAATTTTAAATGATTTCTAATAAAATATGTTATGAACACGTTCGCGAAGTCTTGTACCACATTTGATACATATCTAATCATATTTAAAAACAAGACGGCTACATAGGAAGCTTGAAAAATCAGTTATGATGTTACATGATTGATACATTTGTTTCCAAACTGTACAGTAATGGTCGGTATTACTTTCTGCGCTGTCTGAGGAATGGTAAGAAGATCCGGAGTTAACAAATGATGAATAAAAAGTATTATCGATTGAATTTTGCGTTGTAGATGTAGTATCATTGGTACATGAGGGTCCGTTCAGATCAAAAGGATTTCTCCTGCAAATTGAAATTATTTGAAACAAAGATGTAAAACTATTTCCTGCACTAGCCTTGTTTCTGTTGAAATTTCCATAGGCAAGGAGGTATGGATGATTTGAAATAACAATTTTTCAACAAAACTAAAATTTTATTTTTTCAATGTGTAGCTTGAATGTTGCCATTACAAAAATTAAAGAATTTCTTGTTTTTGTTTCACTTAGGACTTGAAGTGTAATTGGTTTGTTTATGTATACTTGTGCTTTGAGGTAGCCCCATAAAAAAGTCACAAGGTGATAGGTCCGGTGACTGAGGAGGCTACTCCACATCTCCACACAATGAAATGAGGCGTCCAGGGAAGGTCTGCCTTAAAAATTCAATAGCTGCTCTCGATGTATGGCATGTCGCCCCATCTTGTTGAAACCATACAGTATTGAGGTTGATACTCGACCACGTCTCCATTTTTACTAATAACTAAATGGCGGCTCCTGACGAACAGATACCCCCAGTCTTTATCCTCCAAGGTTCTTCACACCTTGCATGGCGCCACGTTTAAATCATCCATACCTCCCTGCCTAACCCTATATAATGACAACGTAATATTCTTAAACATTCAAAAATGGTAAAAAGTAATGGCAGTAACCCATTGCATTTTTATTGGCCCTCCAATAAGCAGGAAGATAATAATTATACCTTGGTTTCATAATGTGATCTCCTGAAGCGTTGCTACAAAAAGAATCATTGTGTGATATTCTGATGCTGTCGGATTTATCAATTTCAAACACGAAGGTGTGTAAAGAATGGCTCTTACATTGACGTGTGGGTGTGCAATTGCATACGCAATAAATGGAAATTTGTAACGCAGTTATTAAATTTAGCAAAAGAGGAAGAAACAAAAATACAAAAAAGAATCAAATCTCATTTTGACAGCGAGTTGGGTTGGGTTGAATTCTTTTGGTAATAATTTCTCTTGGCCGAAAATCACACCTCTTAGCTTTACTCTTCTTCTTCTTCTCAAGTTTTCGACTCTTACTTACGGTCTACTTTCTGGTTGCTGGACTTCTAGTTTTTGGACTGCTCTGCGTATAGGCTCCCTTCTAGACTGAACTGAACTAGACTATGAACTAAACTGCCTTGGAAATATGCTTCGCTGAAATACCCTGTCTTTTCAAATTGGCATTCAATAATTTAACAAAACAATATTTGATTCGTGGTTAATGTTTTAAACGCATAATTTTATACTTGGTAAAAATAATATTGTAAAGCCTTAGCCTTACAAGTTTATGAAAAAATTTTTGTTCTTCAAACACTTCTTCAACACCACAATGGCAAGGAACATTATTAATGACTAAAGCCACCAAACATTGATAGCTATCTTAAGCTCTCCTTAAGCATTGCCTAACAAACTCATTAGCCACTTCTCTTTTAAATGACCCTATCTTAATTCATGATAAATCAATCCCAAGTTACTGATACATCCGATAAGATGTACGTTTGCTCCCCGGCTACCAGCAGCAATGAAAGTACAATAACTTCCTTTTTGGCGTTTTACGTTTGCTGCTTCCTTTTTCTTAATATAAGACATTTTATAGACAGTTTGTTAATCGTGACAATTTGTAATTGATTAATGTCATTTTGATTTTGATTAATGCCAATTTGATTATGACAGTCGCCAAATTGGTTCTTTAATGCCATTTTGAACTTGAATGAACTTCTATACCATAGACCAGAGTATAGACTATGAATGGTTGCCAAACTAAACTGGTCTTTTCTTTCATTTGAGATTTTAAACCCTTCTATTCAAACGGTCTTAACCTAAATTATTGTTTCCGTTGGCCGAAACAAAGTCGGACCAGTGAGAACATTCCGCACTAAACTAAAGTAGGAGGAAAATCATACAGAAAATCCTAGTCAAAATATTGAAACAAAAGTTCAAACAAAAACACTGACTCATTGCCAGGGCACGGAACTTTTGTAACAAAACGATACGATTCCCCCCTCCACTCGTTCTCAGAAAATCTTGATTAAAAGTACAGCATACTGTTCAGTGGGAAATTAAAATTTCAAGTTAGAAAAAAATTGTGTTAACAAAAATTGTTCCTGAAACAATTCTAAACAAACTTTGTCAACAATTTTTTTTGATTTAATCAATAATTAAGGAGATAACCTCAAAATAATAATTTTTCCGTTTTTATACATAATTATACTTAGATGCTTAATTAATAGAGATGTAAAAATTTTTTATTAAGATAATTGATTCAAAATCGAAATTGAAACAAATTTTATTTAAAACATTTTTTGATAAAAACAATAATTATTGAGATAATTAATTTTGATAGCATACTATTCAGAGGGAAATTAAAATTTCAAGTTAGCAAAAAATTGTATTAACAAACACTGTTCCTGAAGTAATTCTAAACAAATTTTGTTAACAACATTTTTTGATTAAATCAACAATAAGGATATAACCTCAAAAATATTAATTTTTGTAGCATACTGTTCAGTGGGAAATTAAAATTTCAAGTTAGAAAAAAATTGTGTTAACAAAAATTGTTCCTGAAACAATTCTAAACAAACTTTGTCAACAATTTTTTTTGATTTAATCAATAATTAAGGAGATAACCTCAAAATAATAATTTTTCCGTTTTTATACATAATTATACTTAGATGCTTAATTAATAGAGATGTAAAAATTTTTTATTAAGATAATTGATTCAAAATCGAAATTGAAACAAATTTTATTTAAAACATTTTTTGATAAAAACAATAATTATTGAGATAATTAATTTTGATAGCATACTATTCAGAGGGAAATTAAAATTTCAAGTTAGCAAAAAATTGTATTAACAAACACTGTTCCTGAAGTAATTCTAAACAAATTTTGTTAACAACATTTTTTGATTAAATCAACAATAAGGATATAACCTCAAAAATATTAATTTTTGTAGCATACTGTTCAGTGGGAAATTAAAATTTCAAGTTAGAAAAAAATTGTGTTAACAAAAATTGTTCCTGAAACAATTCTAAACAAACTTTGTCAACAATTTTTTTTGATTTAATCAATAATTAAGGAGATAACCTCAAAATAATAATTTTTCCGTTTTTATACATAATTATACTTAGATGCTTAATTAATAGAGATGTAAAAATTTTTTATTAAGATAATTGATTCAAAATCGAAATTGAAACAAATTTTATTTAAAACATTTTTTGATAAAAACAATAATTATTGAGATAATTAATTTTGATAGCATACTATTCAGAGGGAAATTAAAATTTCAAGTTAGCAAAAAATTGTATTAACAAACACTGTTCCTGAAGTAATTCTAAACAAATTTTGTTAACAACATTTTTTGATTAAATCAACAATAAGGATATAACCTCAAAAATATTAATTTTTGTAGCATACTGTTCAGTGGGAAATTAAAATTTCAAGTTAGAAAAAAATTGTGTTAACAAAAATTGTTCCTGAAACAATTCTAAACAAACTTTGTCAACAATTTTTTTTGATTTAATCAATAATTAAGGAGATAACCTCAAAATAATAATTTTTCCGTTTTTATACATAATTATACTTAGATGCTTAATTAATAGAGATGTAAAATTTTTTTATTAAGATAATTGATTCAAAATCGAAATTGAAACAAATTTTATTTAAAACATTTTTTGATAAAAACAATAATTATTGAGATAATTAATTTTGATAGCATACTATTCAGAGGGAAATTAAAATTTCAAGTTAGCAAAAAATTGTATTAACAAACACTGTTCCTGAAGTAATTCTAAACAAATTTTGTTAACAACATTTTTTGATTAAATCAACAATAAGGATATAACCTCAAAAATATTAATTTTTGTAGCATACTGTTCAGTGGGAAATTAAAATTTCAAGTTAGAAAAAAATTGTGTTAACAAAAATTGTTCCTGAAACAATTCTAAACAAACTTTGTCAACAATTTTTTTTGATTTAATCAATAATTAAGGAGATAACCTCAAAATAATAATTTTTCCGTTTTTATACATAATTATACTTAGATGCTTAATTAATAGAGATGTAAAATTTTTTTATTAAGATAATTGATTCAAAATCGAAATTGAAACAAATTTTATTTAAAACATTTTTTGATAAAAACAATAATTATTGAGATAATTAATTTTGATAGCATACTATTCAGAGGGAAATTAAAATTTCAAGTTAGCAAAAAATTGTATTAACAAACACTGTTCCTGAAGTAATTCTAAACAAATATTGTTAATAAACATTTTTGATTTGATCAATAATTAAGAACATAATCTCAAAAAAAATTTTATATATATATTTTTATATATTTTTTTTTATTGAGAAAATAGTTTTAGAATTTAATTTAGAACAACTTTTGTATGAAATTTTCTGCTGAGAACGAGTGGAGGGGAGAAATCGTATCATTTTGTTACAAAAGTTCCGTGCCGTACTCATTGCAATTGAATACATGATCAGAAGTATATGAAGCACACTTAATCAGCAAATTTTGTTCTACAACGCCAGATACCAGTACTTTTAATAAAAGAGTATCTAGACCTAAATCTTTCAAATCGGCTATAACTTGCACTAAAAATTTGCTTATTTTCAAACAAAAAAGAGTCAAATCAGCTTCAGTGTTGCCACATTTTTTCCTTATATGGTTATATTTTGTTACAAAAATCCTAATTCTTAGTTGATTTATGATTCTTTATGAATCATTATGATTTTTATTTGATATGGTTTTTTTTTTTGGGTAAAAATATAAATCATTGTAATCATTCAAACGATTAATAAAACTGAAATCTTATCTTCGCGACAATTTCTAGACTTGAAACTAAACAATAAATCAGCAGGATTAGTTTAAACGTCCATAAAGCCCAGAGTTTATCAGATCTAATATAATGCATCCACCTCCAAAATCGACTTCTAACGTAGAAAGCTATCCGGTTATCACTAGAAAATCTACTTTGCCGAGGCGATTTCCATTTTGCATTTGCATGTCGCGTGACCACCTCGGTACGTATTTTTTTCTTACCGCTATCCTGAACCTCCTAACGCGGTCGTAACGTAGAAGGGCGTCGACTAATAACTTGCCGCCAGTTTATTACTAGAAACGATCCAGCTTGTTTCTTTCCTTTTTTTTTTTTCAAGTTAGAATGTAAATTTTTTGAACCATGTTAGATCTCTATTTTACATAAAGTCATTTTTAAGAAACCACTGCTTCCTTCTTAGATCTTTATTTTTTGTTGATCGCAATGACTTTTGACCTTTCCCCTTGGTGATTTATTACAATGCGATCATTATTAAACGGTAGAACTGACGAAAGGAAATCTTTTTTCTCTTTTTCGGCTTTGAGGGGGTTTCTTTGTCAGCCCGGGAAAGATATATGATCGAAATAGCGAATTCTAAGGTAGAATTTATTTTTAGATATGGAATTTAGTTGTTTTGATGTTGTTTAGTGAGAATCGTTGTTCTAATGAGAAAATGATTATTTTTTTAAATAGAAAAATGAGATAGATTTATTGAGAACTTTTTTGTTTTAGAAAATTTTTTAAAATAGCTTTGTTCTATACTCAGATAATGACCACAACAGGAAAAAAAGGTGTAGTTTTCGGTTTTTATCTCGACTGCAGAGTGCGGAATTGTTCGAATACGAAGTCGACGGTATTGACGCATCCTCTCCACGCGATTTGCGGGAATTCGATCGCGAATATCTCGCAATTCGTGCGGAAAAGAACAGATAAGAACTTTTCCTGTCACCACCGATTTATAACCGAAAAAGAACTCTTTTTATTAAACTTTTTATTAAACGTTGCAATGATATTTAATATGTACAACCAATTTTTGTTCTTAATATTAACATTTTTGTTTTAGTCCTTTTTTGGGTATTGTGGATCTGGAAGCCCAAAACATCTCGCCCAATAACGGTCTATTGTGTGATATAAATGAGGAGATACTCCGTTTAATGAATGATTTTCATCTGGATAACTCTACAAAAAAATAAATAAGATATTATTAGAACTAGAACTAGAAATATTCGGATTTGGTTACTACTAGTGGTGGAACGGATATCTCTTTTAGGTGTTGGACACTGCAGATAATACGAGCCCTAACTTGGGACAAAATATAATGTGTATATAATTAAGAATAATTAAACAGTTTAATTTCTTTTAATAATTTTTTCAGATTAATATCATTTGATTATATAATTAACAACAATTTTGTCTAATGAACAACACAAAAAACAAAATACATACCCTATTGCTTCTAATTAAACTAGAAAAATGTATATTTTACCTGACAACTTAATATTGGGACAATGCAAAGTAACTTCCATAAAAATGGAACAAATTAAGATAAGTAAACTGTGGAAATAACGTAAAATGAAATGTTAAATTGCCGGTTTGTTCTAAAGCTTGTAACATTGTTGCTGTTCAGTAAATCTGTATTTATCAATTAAAATGATGCGTGGTATCTGTACAGAGTCAAAAATCCCAATACGTGAAACAGCAGACGAACTTAATATTCCTAAAAGCACAGCGTGGAAAGTAATTAAACATTATGGAGAAAGTGGGCAAATTTTAGAAAAAAAGGGTAAAAGTTCATGTCGTCCAATGTTAGTTTCTGATAGAAATAAAAGAATACTTGTAAAAATCTGCAAAAAAGGACGAAGAAATATTTTAAGACAAGTTACCGCTGAAAGGAATAATGAAACTGGATTAAATATATCAAGGGAATGCTGTCGCAAATGGATTTTTAAAAGTGGATTAAAATTTTACGATGTTTACTTACAAGCAATAATTTAAAAATGTCGCTTTTAGAAAATTGTTGTTTTATAAGCAAAAGAAAAACCACTGTTAACAGAAAAACAACAGAAAGTCAGGCGCACATGGGCAAAATCTAAACTGTCTTGTTCAGCAGAAGAGTTTTCCAGGATAATATTCAGCGACTTCATAAAGATTGTTTAAAACGTTGTGTAAAATTTCCGAAGGGAGTAATCATTTGGAGCTGTATGACAGCTTCAGGATAAGGATGGTTTAAATTTATTGGTGGCACCGTGAACGCCGCAAAATATCAACAAATACTACAAAACAGCATACTACCAAGTATCGTGCAGTTAAATGTTGGCGAATTGTCATACGGCCAAAACTACAAAAAAGTGGTTGGCGATCAAAATATTAATGTTCTGTATTGGCCTGCCAACAGTCCAGATCTGAATGTAATTGAAACAGTGTGGCACAAAATGAAACAAACTTTGAGGAACAACCCACAACGGACATTGCCAGAACTTAAAGTCAAAATAAAACAAATTTGGGATGGATTTACTGGGATGGAATTCAATGCCTAAGCGGTTATAAAATCTAAGGGCGAATGTCCCAATATTTAGTTGTCAGGCAAAATTTACATTTTTCTAGTTTAATTAGAAGTAATAGGATATGTATTTTGTTTTTGTGTTGTTCATTAGATAAAATTGTTGTTAATTGTCTAATTAAATGATATTAATTTTAAAAATGTATTAAAACAAAATAATCTGTTTAATTGTAGTTAATTACATATAAATTCTATTATGTCCCAATATATAACAACTTTACTTATATCAGGTTTGTCATTATCAGCCTCATTATAACAATCCCAATACGATATATAAAATCTCTTGTTGTAGTTTCGTCTAATTTTCTTCTCTTCGCTGTTATCACTATCGATTATTACTTAAAGTATCCTCTTTTTAATACAACAAGCCGTTTTGAAAAATCACTTTCAGTTCTTGAGATAAATTTTTGAAATGATCGAAAATTTATTCGAATTTTGCAATTTTCGCCGATTAAGATTTAAAAATTCGTATAAAATCCAGTTCTTGGAATATGGGTATGAAAATATCCCAAAGTGTTAATAAAAGTGTCCTCTTTCTAATGAACCAACACGTTTTGAAAAATAACTTTTAGTTTTTGAGAAAACACTATTTGAAGTTTTGATAAAATTTTCGATATTGCAATTTTAATCGATAATTTTCAAAATTCGCTATAAAATTAATTTCTTGAAGGATCCTTTTGAAAATATCGCCAATTATTAATTAAAGTAGCCCCTTTTTAATGCAAAAAGCCGTTTTGAAAAATCACTTTCAGTTCTTGAGAAATAAATTTTTGAAATGATCGACATTTTTTTCGAATTTTGCAATTTTCGCCGATTAAGATTTAAAAATTCGTATAAAATCCAGTTCTTGGAATAGGAGTACGAAAATATCCCAAAATGTTAATAAAAGTGTCCTCTTTCCAATGAACCAACCCGTTTTGAAAAATAACTTTTAGTTTTTGAGAAAACAATATTTGAAGTTTTGATAAAATTTTCGATGTTGCAATTTTAATCGATAATTTTCAAAATTCGCTATAAAATTAATTTCTTGAAGGATCCTTGTGGAAATATTATCAATTATTAATTAAAGTGTCCTCTTTTTAATGCAAAAAGCCGTTTTGAAAAATCACTTTCAGTTCTTGAGAAATAAATTTTTGAAATGAACGAAAATTTTTTCGAATTTTGCAATTTTCGCCGATTAAGATTTAAAAATTCGTATAAAATCCAGTTCTTGGAATAGGAGTACAAAAATATCCCAAAATGTTAATAAAAGTGTCCTCTTTCCAATGAATCAACCCGTTTTGAAAAATAACTTTTCGTTTTTAAGAAAACAATATTTAAAGTTTTGATAAAATTTTCGATGTTGCAATTTTCATCGATAATTTTCAAAATTTGCTATAAAATTAATTTCTTGAAGGATCCTTGTGGAATTATCGCCAATTACTAATTAAAGTATCCTCTTTTTAATGCAACAAGCCGTTTTGAAAAATCACTTTCAGTTCTTGAGAAATAAATTTTTGAAATGATCGACAATTTTTTCGAATTTTGCAATTTTCGCCGATTAAGATTTAAAAATCCGTATAAAATCAATTTCTTGGGCTATGAGTTTGAATATTTGCCAAAATGTTAATAAAAGTGTTCTCTTTCCAATGAACCAACACGTTTTGAAAAATAACTTTCAATTTTGAAAAAACAAAATTTGAAGGTTTAATTAGATGAGGGAGTTTGATCCATGTTGACCAGTTATTTTTTATATAATATAAATTCAATAAAAAGCAATACTTTTTCTGGGCTTTTTCAATTTATTGTCTAACCGGTTTCGGTTTACGCCATCATCATACTCGGGCACTAATGGATTAGTGCCCGTCAATCCAAGTTTTATAGTATTGTTTTATATCTTAACGTGTAAATTTTAACTTTTAATGTGTTCATATTTATAATCTTAACTTGTATACCTTTGTGAAGCCATTTACATGAACAACTAAATGGAAAATAAGTTTCTATTTCTAATGTCTCTGATGATGGCGTAAACCGAAACCGGTTAGACAATAAATTGAAAAAGACCAGAAAAAGTATTGCTTTTTATTGAATTTATATTATATTTGAAGTTTTGAAATAATTTTCGATGCTGCAATTTTTATCGATAATTTCAAAATTCGCTATAAAATTAATTTTTTGCAGGATCCTTGTGGAAATATCACCAATTATTAATTAAAGTATCCTCTTTTTAATGCAAAAAGCCGTTTTGAAATATCACTTTCAGTTCTTGAGAAAAAAATTTTTTAAATGATCGACAGTTCTTTCGAATTTTGCAATTTTCGCCGATTAAGATTTAAAAATTCGTATAAAATCCATTTCTTGGGTTATGAGTTTGAATATTTGCCAAAATGTTAATAAAAGTGTTCTCTTTCCAATGGACCAACCCGTTTTGAAAAATAACTGTTAGTTTTTGAGAAAACAATATTTGAAGTTTTGATAAAATTTTCGATGTTGCGATATTCATCGATAATTTTCAAAATTTGCTATAAAATTAATTTCTTGAAGGATCCTTTTGAAAATATCGCCAATTATTAATTAAAGTAGCCCCTTTATAATGCAAAAAGCCGTTTTGAAAAATCACTTTCAGTTCTTGAGAAATAAATTTTTGAAATGATCGAAAATTTTTTCGAATTTTGCAATTTTCGCCGATTAAGTTTTAAAAATTCGTATAAAATCCAGTTCTTGGAATAGAAGTATGAAAATAACCCAAAAGTGTTAATAAAAGTATTCACTTTCCAATGAACCAACCCGTTTTGAAAAATAACTTTTCGTTTTTGAGAAATATGGCCAATTATTAATTAAAGTATCCTCTTTTTAGAGTTGCTTCGTTAGTTAATGTGGCAGAAATTATAACCATAATGGCATGATAGACTTTTCGCAAAATCACTATCCGTTCCATCACTAGCTACTACTATAACGGACACTCTCCTCCTCGTGTTAGTCCGTTATAGCGAGGTTTCACCACAATTTTATAATTAGTAAATTAAAAAAACAAACCATTTGATAAAACATTATGTCGGCACGTTCTAAAGCTTTCGATAAAATCATTGATTGTTGATAATGAACGTTATCATCAGCATTTCCATGGATTAAAAAGAACGATTTATCTCTTAAACTTTCAACTTCTCTGGATAAATCGGTTCTATTATAACCTAATTGGTTATCATCTGCATCAGGTAACCCCATATATCTTTCGGTGTAAATGGTATCTGTAAAAAATAATTCTCAAATATTGCTTTTAATCGACAAAAAACTTTTTTACCGTATAAAAGAAAATCTGTAACTGGTGCAACCGACAACCCAAATCTAAAAACATTTTCAACATCTTTAACTAAAGCCCATGCCGTGGCAAATCCGCCGTAACTCCAACCCCAAATTCCGATACGTTCGGGATCGATGAATGAAAATGTATCTCTAAGGGCTTTGGTAACAGCGATTTGATCTTCGATTTCAACGGTGCCCATTTTTTTATAAATCTGAAACCGTAAATTATCACCTTTGTTTCCACTTCCTCTGCCGTCGATGTAACAGTAGATGTATCGGCGATTTGTGACGATGTAGTTTTGGAATCCGGTCGAAAATCTGTCGGAAATTTGAGTCGAATCCGGACCGCCGTAAACATTAACGATCATCGGGTATTTTGTGAGTCCGGTATGGTCTGCATCCGGAGGAAGAAGTAATCGTGCTTTGGCTGTGAAACCACTTTCCAAGATAAAATCGTGATTTATAATTTGCATTGATTGTTTTTTTAATAATTTTTCTCTTAAAACGTCGTTGGTTTCGTAAGGGTACGCTGTATTCTATAATTTTTTAAGCAAAATTTATAAAATTTAAATTAATTATTTAAAAATTACTTACAAAACCATCAACTGAGTTGATTACTATGTAATTAGGTCCGGGTCCTCGACACATTTCAACAAAATAGGAATAATCGGTACTAAAAGAGGCTGAAGCAAATTCGCAATCTCCTTCTGGAGTTTTTAAGCTGCATGTTATACAAATATCTTCTTTATCGGTTATGTTGTAGTAGTAAACGTGTTCTTGGAATGGGCTATTACTTGGTGTTCCAACATAAAATCTTAAATTTTTACGAATTACATCAGAATTAAATCTTAAAGGTGTGTTGTTAAAACTTACATTAAATTTCTAGTTTCATCCCAACCCAAAATATTTAAAACAACTCTTTTACCATGAGTTAATCTGGTCGGTGATTTACTTGAAACATCATACATCACCAAATGTTGATAAGAATCATCATCTTCCGGTTGGGATGTGACCATTATGTACTTAGTTCCATCTAGGCTATAATAGGGAGCTTCGATTTCTAACCAACCTTTATTTTCAACGAATTCATTTTCCTGGAAATTCATTGATAATTAATTTAATTAAGTAATTATTTTAATTTTTACAATATCACAAGTTGTTTCTGATAATTTACATCTTCTAATCGTTGCTTGATTTTGTATTCTATTCTCGATCACTACAACAACTTCATCGTTTGTAGCCCAAGTAACATCGAAAAGAACGTAATCTTTCGATAATGCACCACTTGGAAGAACATTAAGAGTTTTTATATTAGTAGGGTCGGATAATGATACAACTTTTACTTCAAAATCGGGATTTCTTGTTCCAACCTAACAAAATTGATTAATTTTATTATTAATTTTGTTTAGAAATAAAAAATTAATACCTTTGGATATTTCAATGTAACAACTTTTGGATATTGGTCTTCTGTAGGATCATCACCTCCATACATAAAATAGGTAAAATCTTCTACTTTTTCATCGTTGAAATAACCAAAAGCTATGTGACTTCCATCTGGTGACCACCAAATAGCTGATCCAGCAGATAACACTTCTTCTTCGTACACCCAATCGGGGATTCCATTGTATATAACACCGTTTTCGCCATTGCTCGTAATTTGGACTGGTTTTGTTACATTTGATGGTGTTGATACGTAATAAATGTTGTTGTTTAAAACATAAGCGATACTGCTTCCTTCGAGTGACCAAGAAGCGTATTGCAAAAGTTCTTCGTTGGCTAAGTCAAAATATTGTCTAAAAATACAAAAAAATAGATTATGAAGTGATTTTTGGTTAGGAATGATTTACTTTGATAATAATCCGTAAACGGTGAATTGAGCTACTGTGGAATGTCTAAAAATCTAATCAGAACAAAATTTAAAAAAATAAATAAATTAATTATTATAGTGCGACCTCGATAATCCGGATCTTCATTATAATAAGACAAATTTTAGTTTTATCTGCCAAAGCAAAACAATTTTATACTGCAACATGGAAATGATAATTTTAGAGCTAAAACTATCCAGTGATCAAAATGCCATCAAACTGTATTCGTAGAGGAGATAAAAATTAAACGTGGAACCTCCTCAAATATATAATGCCTGAAAATACGCTGGTTTGTTTTCAGAAAAAGATCGCACGAAATATATCAAACACAAAGAGAAGACAAAATTCAACCTCAATAAACTTAAATAATCAGAAATATCAACAAAATCAGAGGAGGTAGTCGAAATCATTTGGCACACTTTTAAAACAACAATTACAGCCAATTACAAAAGATTCATGGATGTCAGAATAAATCTTGATGACACTCGAAGATCTTGCAAAACAATCAAAATGGAGCGAAATATAAAGAAAGAGAGAATCACTAATTAGCAGACACATCAGGAAAGCAAGAGAAAACTTTAACACTTTAATACATACCAAAAGGTAAAGGAAGTCAAAATTTGAAGGAAAGATTCACTACAATGACTCCAGTAGATAATAATAATCAAATAATGACTATTCCAGAAGATGTAGGATCAATATGGGAAAAATAAATTTAGGAGCTCTTTGATGACGAAAAATCTATTCTTTTCTATACGTCTTTGGAACCGCAGATGAATGCAACCCAAGAAATAATGCTTGACATACCAATATCAGAAGTTACAAGAGCCAGACGAAATATATGTAGAAATGAATAATACACAGGAATCTTCCCAAATGACTGGCTCAGATCAAAGTGTACCTATACCCAAGAAAAATAAAGCTCACAATTTAGGTTAATCAGTGTAATGAGTCACATCCTGAAAACATTACTCAGAACGACTTGGTACAAGGGAAGCACTGTTTGGTTTTCAGATACTGGAAAATATTGAAGAAGGAATCAAAGTTTGCGGAGAATATGTAAATAGCTTAAAATAGGCAGACGACATAGTCATTGTTGCGGAGAGTGCTAAAGGATTGCAACAACTTTTGAATATCTTGATCAGGGAAGGAGATACTTTAGAGTTAAAATAAACATAAACAAGACGAAAATAATGGCTGTGACACGTATGCCAAATACCTGCATTACTATTCATATCTACAACAAGTTGTCCTTGACTATCTTGAGCACGAGGTTGAAATACGACCTCGGGTAGAATATGCCAGATCCGCTTTTCAAAGCAGAAAATTCCACCTTGCCGCTGGATGCTCGATACCGATATTTGAAAATGTACATCTTCAGTATTGATATGCGGAGTGAAAGCCTTTGAAATGTGAGTTTTCCGATGAATGCTGAAGATCTATTGGACGGAACACGTCACCAATGATGAGGTGCTAAGAAGGATGGGAACTGACAGAGAATTCAGTTAAATGTAATAAAAGCCCGGAAAATGTTAACTATGGCATATTTATAGAGAGAAGAAATACAACTTCCTACGAATCACAATGGAAGGAAAAGTTGAAGGAAAAAGAGATCCAGAGATGAGAAAATGCTCGTGGTTGAAGAATGAAAGACGGAGAGCACTTTGCCGAAGTTAGCCACTGCATGGATGGGCAATTTTTTAGACTGGTTTCATGGCTCTTTTATTCGTCAAGTTACAAGTCATTTAAGCCTAATCGTCGATAACGTCATGGTACTATAGAAGATCTGACAAATGAGGATGGTCAGTTTACAACACCATTAGTTACACCAAATTCTACTGCACTTTTGCAGTTTATGGATCAAAATGTCATTAGACTGACAAAATTATTTTATCGAAATGTCTTTTAAGCCCATTTTTTATCTAATGAAGAAGGTAATAGAAGAAAATCTTCGGTATTATCACCCAAATGTATAAGGTTAAAAATAAAATTAAACACCCCCTTTACTTCTTAATCGAAGAAAGAATATAATTAGTGTCAAATTGTATAATCTGCTCGTTCCTGTGTTTGATGATTGTACTCGTGTATTACTAGTGTATGATGTTTCAACTTTTTATTTTACACAATATACGGGGTGTTCCGTTTAAAAAACTTAAGAAATAACCATTTGAAAAACATCAAAAGTAACTAAGCTTTATAAACATTGTGTATAGTGTATCTAATATCTTTGAATACTATCATCTACTTACTGGCTTTGACTATTGTTTGATATAGTTACAAGGCAAAATCGGAAAAAATGTCGTTTTTACATCGTTTTCAAAAAGATCATGTAATAAGCACATTTTGGAAAAACAATTGAATATCTCAAGAACTATGAACGCTGTGAAATAGCAACATATACGGTTGTATAAACAAATTTAGTTGTATTCATAATATGATAAAACATACAGGGTGTTTCATTTAAAAAAATCTACATACTCTCCGTTACGCCTGAATGGAACACCCTGTATAAGTGAAAATAATTTTACGTAATAGAAAGTGGTGAATCAAACAACTTTTGTAAAAAATATTTTTTTCTTTTTCAAACGGTTTAGCAATTATCGTTCGTCGAGATACTAATAACTCACCCTGTATACAGGGATGTTCAGTTTTTAATCGGGAAACTTTACTGGGACGTAATACTTGCCAAAATAGCACCAGTTTTTTATATAACCATAGGGTCGCAACTCTTTTGTTTATGACCTGTCAAAGTTGAGCCAAAAATTTACATTTTTTTCTTTAAAGTTAATAGTTTTTGTGTAAAAAAATAAAATGTTACATTGTACTGTAAAGCGCTGCTATTATGCTATGGAAGTTGTGCACTTTACTTGAAAAATCATAAATAAAATAAAAATGAAACTTGCAAGTTCTCAGAGCCAACTTTTAGAATAATTTTAGTTAAACATGGCGGCACATAGCGGTACATGGCACGACATTTTATTTTTTTACGCGGAAACTATTAACTTTAAAAAAAATACTAAAGAGACAAAAAAGTACCACTAAAGAATGAGCTTTACAACCCATATTTTTTTATGTTAATATTCCATAGCGTTAAAAAGTTTTTATAACAAGATCAAGGGGGTGGTGAATTTCATTACCTTAGAGGGCCCTGTGGAAGTTTAAGGTATGCTTGAAAATAAGGAAACGAAAAATAATTAATTCTACGGTTTACTTACAGTCGAAATACAAAACAAAATGTAAATTTCTGCTTCAACTTTGACAGCTCATAGCTCGAAAACAAAAGAGTTGCGGTCTTATGTGTAAATAAAAAACTTGTGTTATTTTGCCAAGTACTACGTCCTAGTTAGTAAAGTTTCCCGATTAAAAACTGAACCACCCTGTATATCTGACAATCGATGTTATAATTATTTTATATAATATAATTGAAATAACTTTTTGTGAGCTGGATCATTTCTGAATAAAATGCCTAGGTACCTAATACTTTCCACACCTTCAAAGTTGTATTCAGCAACAGTTAACTTTTGAGGAATTCTTTTATTTTCATCTCTGGACATTCTAATGATTGCCTCACTTGATATGCTTTATTGAAAATGTTTTTTCTACATTGCCAATTGCATATTGCAGGGCTAGATTGAACAGTAACGTTGATAGTGTAGTCTAACACCATTATTAATAGCAAATTGTTCCAACTTTCTATCAAAATTAAGCAAACAAAAATTACAAAATTAATAAGATATACTTCTTTCTGTTACTTCTGTTGTAAATAACTTGTTTTGTATTAAATGTTTCACTTTTCAATATAAAATTTGTTTAGCTTCAGAAATCCGGATCAACGCGATTTTAATTAGTCCGGATTATCGAGGTTGCATCATATTCTTACCGATTGAGAATTATGTCTAATAAGAATAAAGTTTGTATCCGGCGATAAAGTAAAAGTGGCACCTTTATAATTGCTCTAAAAAAAATTATTAAAACATAACAAAACAATACCTTCAAAAACTTACTAAGACATCGCTTTCGAATAACAAATTAGATTCCTCCGGGGCTTCTACATTGTAGATATATACATTATTATTTGTGCTGTCTTTATAATAAAATTCGGTCCCTATAAAAAAAAACGTAAACAATACACAATTGGTTATAATCTTAAATCGATTTTTTCGACGATAAACAAATCGATTCGTTATGAATTGGTGGCAATATAATTCAGATAACTGATAAGTTCTATAAGTATAAATGATATTAATAGAAGTTGATCTTTTATTAGAAGAAAAAAATATTATATAACTTTGTTTTGTGTATAATATTTTAATTTATTAAAGTGTGTCAAACTTTCGAGATAATTTAAATGCTTAAAATGCAAAAAAAAGCGAAACGAAATATTCGCTTAAATTTTATTTTTGACTACTTTATGGGCTTGTATTTAAATGTCAAGATCACAAAACAATAATTATAAAAAAAAAGTATCCTGTTCTTGAAAAACTTTACGGTTTCTTATTATTTTACGTTTTTCATAAAATCAAAATGTTGTTAACCTTGATAATAAATAAAAATTTTCTTACCTGACATCCAAACTCCATTAAAACCTTTATTAGAAAAAGCTCCATTTAAATATTCATCTAACTGAAACGGTTCCAAATCTTGACACTTCACGATTTGAATCGTGATTAAAACGAAAAGAAACGCACAAATCTATAATAAAATGACAAAAAAAATATATAGATTAATTTTAAAGATTCATCTTTAAATGAAACTTTCACTTTTAAGTAAGAGTCACGTTCATCGACTCTTTTTTAATGTGTGTGACCCCTTACTTTCAACTTCATCTCGCGCGCCGCCCGTTCTCCGTCGTTCTTGAATCGTGACGCGCTACTAAGCACATTTTTAGGCAACATTTCGGTTTTATATCTCTCTCGTTCCCAGCATGTGATTCGGAACAACTTATTATCTTATTATCTCGTGTATAATTCGTGTTTGAGTTAATCATCGCAATCTTATTATTAGTCTATATACTTTCCTTTGTTCAATTGATTTTTTTTGTATTATCCTTCTTTTTTCAATGCATAATATGGGATTAATAAATATTATTATTTATGGATTAAATTTAAACTTAATCTAGTTTTATCTGTAAAAAATATGATTTATCATAGTTTCAAACAAATAAATTTTGACAAGAAAAGATTATTTTATTAACAAAATCCATAATACACAAAAACATAACACATTAATTTAATTTTTTTAGATATATACTTATAATATACAATGAATTTCCCTTTAATGTAAAAAATATTCGCTTTTTATTAAAATTTTAGTTTATTTTAAATTAAACTACAATAACTAGAACAACTGGAAGGTTCAGGGTGATCTTTATTATTCACATGAATTCCACCATCACCAAAAGATTCCCATAACCCAGGGGTTTGAATTATTTTATGAACTAACTCTTCAAAAGCACATTGAACCCCATCCTTTGTTTTTGCACTTGCTTCTATAAATAATGTTTGGTGTCTTCTTGCAAATTGTAAACCTTGTTCTCTTGTAACCTCTCGATTTTCCTTATCAGAACAAAATTAAAATTAAATCATTAAATTTAATTTATAATTACCACATCAATTTTATTTCCAACAACCATTTTTATGATGTTTCTTTTTGTTGAATATATATCCAATTCATTAAGCCAAGTTTCCAATCTAGCAAAAGAACTGTAATTGCTCACATCATACACTAAAATAGCACCTTGGGCGTCTCTATAATAAGAAGGTGTTAAGGTTCTAAAACGTTCTTGCCCCGCAGTATCCCAAATTGCTAATTTTACTGTATTCCCATCTATCGTTAATTTCTTTGTTTTGAAATCAACACCTATCGTTAATGTTTGTTCAGGGTCAAAGTTATCTTCGGTAAATCTCAACAATAAACTAAAAAATAGTCTTATTAATAACATTTTAAAGAAAACATTTACAATTACCTTGATTTCCCAACCCCACTTTCGCCTATTATTAGAATCTTTAACGTTGTTAAGATATCGTCATCCATTATCTCTTATAGAAGCTTAACACTTGGTTTAGATCAGTTTTTCCAAGAATACAATTAAAGTTGTAAATCTTTAGTTTTTAATAAACAACGTGATTTAACACTTACAAATAGATATTACGCAGCAATTCCAAAGATTAGTTATTAAAACGCGTAATGTTTATATCTGTCAAAAGTGACGTTTAGTTAACCTTATTTTCAAAAAGTATTTGGCGACATCTATGATGGAAGTATTGAACTGCGTATTGTTTACGGTAAATTTCCGTTTAATTAGTTTAAATTAATTAGATTTTCAAAAGTTATTGATTTTAGTTTTTAACAAGTGTAATAATAACACTAATATAAATATTTCATTGAATTAGAATTTAAAGTAAATCATTAGTTCTTTTAAACCGTTTATAACGCCATCTATGAATTCATCGCCGATTTACCCTATAAGAATTAACACATTACCAAAGTTGAGTAACCATACTGTATAATACCGTTTATTATAATATTGTTTTACGTAAAAAATTTCTGTAAATTTAATTAGTGTGTATGACCCCATTGATAAAAAAATCGGAAAAAAATTTTATTATTTTAAAGTTACCATGGTGATTAACATCCATTGCAGTTGCTTGTCAAAATTGACGTTGTATTTAGGTTTTTTTAATGAAAAACACATAATTAATTGGATTTAAAGGTTGTATTTAATTCAAAAGGGGTAAATGGATGAAATTATACGCAAGGACTTAAAAACCTTTAAAATGAGTCGAAACATGACGTACTTATCTCAAAAAACAAAAAAGTTTGAATAAAAAAACATTAAATCCGAAGCTAACAACAATGAAGATAGCAATTTAATTATTAAATATTAATACCAACCTTAATTTTTATTTTTTTTTATTGCATTTTTGTTTTTGTGATAAATTTTAAGACATTTTATAAAAATTAAGAATTTGTCAAAGAGAGATTGACGATTACAAATATGTCAAAATTGACGTTGACATTTGTAACCGAAAGTTGACTCATTTTAAGGGATTTTTAATGAACATTACAAATATGTCAAAATTGAGGTTGACATTTTAAATCTGAAGTTAGCTATCATATAATAGACAACTTCATGGTGTTCTTTTATGATGTATTCTTTATTAAAATGAGTCCAAACATGATGTTGATAGGTATCGCTATGTTGTATATTTTTATTGCACTAAAACTAGAACTGACACTAGACCTAGAACTAGAAAAATTCGGGTTTAACCCGAAACTTTCTAGGTCTAGTGTTAGTTCTAGTTTTAATTGTGATGGACTGCTGCATCCTTTATTCTTTTGTAATCCAAAAAATGACGTCAGTATCGGTCCAATACATGTCACGCTAAGTTAGCTTCTACTTATGACTTTACGTCTCTTGAAACGGCTAAACCCAAATGTTTCTAGGTCCATTGTTAATTCTAGTTTTAATTGTTATTTAGCACTAGATTGCTTTATATTTTTATTGAACTAACAGTAGACCTGTTGGAGGTTCAAAGGGATAGTGCCTACCCAATTCCGACTCTCACCTCCTCAAAGCATCTTAGTTGCGGGCGAACCCTGGGAACTTGAGTAACCATGCCAAAGACTGAGTAACCAACCCCAGTGGGAAGCAAGTTTGAAAGCAGGAGTTGGGCGCTAGGTCAACTACCTGATCCCGGATCGATCACTGATAAACGTTCTAAAAGAAAAAGTCGGACTGAACAAAGAAATGGACAGAATCTATGTATTGCGACTTGGAACGTTAGAACTTTATCGTAACAGAATGCGTAATAGGTCGGAATGAAAGAGGATCTTGGATCAGGCTAAGACTCACAAAAGGTTGTCATGCAAATGATGATGAACAGTAGACCTAGAAAGTTTTAAATTTATCCGTGCGTCTTCAGACTCTAGAACTGTCACTAGAACTAACATTAGACCTAGAGCTAGAAACATTCGGGTTTAGCTGACTTCAGAGACTAACGGCTGTTAGTTCTAGTGACACCGCTAGTTAGCACTAGATATCGCTATGTTGTATATTTTTCATGAACTAAAACTAGAAATTCTCGGCATTAATGCGTCCGCTAATATCAGTTCCAGATTTTCCTTGGAGTTGTTTGACGAATTTCAAGTTCGCCAGGCTCTTAGACAATCTCGGTCCACTAGTGTTGGTGCTGATGATGTCAACATTAAGCATTAAGTATTGGTTTTGCTTGATTTCAGCAAGGTATTTGATTCTGTTGATCATAAATTCTGTAGGTTTTAGGTCGAGCTGTGTCGCTTGGTTTCAATCATACCTCTCTAATCGTTCCTTGTGTGTACGTGACTCCTCATCTTCCTCGTCTGTATTTACAAGCCGTTGCGGTGTGTCTTAGGGCAGTGTTTTTGATCCACTTTTCCGTCTTCATAAATTGCATTACTAAGATAATTAAGTGCAACTTTCACCTATATGCAGACTATCTCCAAATTTATACATCTGCAGCTATGGATGAACTTCCAGCAGCGGTAATGCGGCTTAATAGGGATCTTGCTATGTTCTAGATGCCATGGCTTGAGTTTGAATATAGTTAAGAATAAAGCTATTGCTTTCGGATCAAGACCTTTGCTAACAAAATTTTACTCCATCAATAATACCCATCTGACACTTGATGGTAACATCATACAATTCTCTCAAACAGTTAAAATGGGGGTGATGATGGATTCTGCATTGTTCTGGCAGCCCCAGATTCAGTCTGTCTGCAGGAAATTAACTACCATATACAAGATACTTTCCTCTCAATCCCCAATTTACCTGTTCACTGCATTTCAATTCATGGCATCTCGCGGTATTCCTACTAGAGCATAGTCTGATGTCTCACTCAATGAACAGGAAGTTCATTCTACTGAAATATATCACAGATCATTCACTGTACAAGCTATAACTCTGAGGAATAATTTATCCATAGCATTGCGTAATGCTCGTAGCGCTTTTCTGTATTCAAAGCTTCACTAAGAAATTACCTGGTTTTGATGTCATCTGCTTCTTCTCTTTTCTAACAGCTTTATTATATATCTGCTAACAGCTTTATTTGCTCTTTTCCAATCATTTTTCGCTTAATCCGATTTTCTTTCTCTCCTATTCTTTTTCTGTTACTTAACATGTACTTATTTTTTTTCCATAGTTGCCATATTAATTATTTATCTTAATTCCATACATACATTCCGGTCGAGTCTTTTTGAAAACATCCAAGCTTGTGTTAATCTTATAGAACAATGTATATTTTCTATTGTATATTATTACTAGACCTAGAAAGTTTCGGGTTTAACCATGCGTCTTCAGACGCATAAGGGTTGTTTAAAATTAAAAGATAATAATTATAAACGTTTTATTAAAATACAAAACGTAACTAACAAAAAAAAATACGACAAAAATAACTACAAATCAAAATGAAACCACGAAATGTTTTCAGTAACAAATATAATTAAAAATTAACAGTTTAAAGTTATACAACTTTTCGAAATGTTCCAGAGTACAAAAAAAATGCTAGATTAAGAATCAGATCGGGCGTTTTTATAAATTCCTCTTCATTTCAATCGGAATGGGGGGGTGGTGGAATAGTTTTTACATCACTCAATCGCGCACAAACCGCACAAAAAAAAATAATAAACACACATTTATATTACCACCGACCGATGTTTATCCGTCCTATTTAAAATTTCTCCACTTTTTTTTAATCGAAAGAACACTCGGGGCTCAAACATAATAGAGATTAGGCACCGAAGTGTTTTTTTTTTATAACAATGCCAGATTAAAAACAACAGGCATTTCACAGTTTATTTTTTTTAATATAAATCATTCTACTTTCGAAAGTTTTACATCATATCCATTCCACCTCCCATTCCACCCATTCCTCCCATACCGCCTCGTGGCATTGGGGCTTCTTCTTTAGGTATTTCTGTGATCACTGCTTCAGCTGTTGTTAGTAAAGACGCCACTCCAGAAGCATCCTTAATCGCCGTACGAACAACTTTCGTTGGATCGATAATTCCTTTTTCTACTAAATTTCCATATTCGTTTTTCAAGGCATCATAACCATAATCACCAGTTCCTGCTTCTACTTTTGCTACAACTTGATTTCCATCAACACCAGCATTATTTGCAATTGTCATACATGGTACTCGAAGTGCTTTTCTTACAATTTCAATACCTAAGAAAAAAATAAAATTAGCATTTACTGAACATTGTTCTATAACAAATTGAGCTTCATCTTATAATACATAAAAAAATAATTAGTGATTGTACAAAAATGTATAAATAAACAATTTTTAAGTTGTTTTAAATTGTTCAATTAACTTATACATTTTTTTAAAATATTTTAGCACAACTCCGACACCTACAAAATTACAAAGATTTCATTTTGTAAGCTCTAATGTGTGCATCAAAAATAATACATGGAACATTTTTGGGGTTATAAATTCTAAGTCAGGGTGAAAGTACTAGGCCAGTATAGTAAAAAATGGAAGTGTGCAAGCCAAATGTTGCTATTTAAGTTTTTGCTATTGCTGTGGTAAATATGTAACAAAACATGAAAAAAAAGGGAAATTTCAGTGCAAATTTTGTTCAAACATACGAGATGTACCTCAACTAAATGTTATAGTGTATAAATATAGGATGCCAAATATAGTGTGCAAAAGATTTGGACTAATCTCAATCCATTGAATTGCTACGCATGTGCGAATAAAGGAGCCGCATTGAGAAAAACGGTGAGAAAATCGTATAATTCTGTTGATGTTGGCCAAAGATCATTGCCTTATTCGGACTACTTTCCTGTGCTAAAATCTTCAAGTCGAGATTTCTATCTTCTATGACTGCTCCGACTTTTGCACCAACATATAATTTAGATTCAATTGCTGCGCTAAATTGGAATTGACACAATATAAATCAGAACAGCTGGCTTCGTTTTTGAAATCAAACAATCTTTTGGCATCCAGTACAAAAGTCACAGGTTATCGAAGTTTATTCGTTGTGAATGATGAAAAAACTTCTGCATATTGCCTGGATGTCGGAAAATTGGACGCAATGAAAACAAAATATGAAACAGATGATTGGAGATTATTTATTGACAGTTCAAAACTCATTTTGAAGCTTTCCTGCATAAGACCAATGAAAAACCTTGGGTTCCAATCGCGTATAGTACAGAAACGAAAGAAATGTATGATGCATTAGAAAATATTTAAAAAATGGTTAACTACGCTAAACATATGTGGCACATATGTTGTGATATAAAAGTTGGCTTTGCGGTTTTCGAAGCGGCTTTTTGTGCGATTGAATGGAAACGCAGAGAGCACAGCAGGTTAGAAATGGCCAATATTATTCGTGAACCTTTGATGCCGAAAGAGAAGATATTGCTGCTTCCATTGCATATTAAGCTTGGAATTGTTAAAAAACTGTCGCCAAAAGAGATACAATTTAATTTGTCAAGTACATTTTTCAATTTCTTGAAAATTGGAAAATATTCCAACTTTAGAAAACATATTTGTCATGATTTTCTATCGTAATGCATTCATTTTGTTGCGCCTTTTTCAGGCGTACTAAATGGTCCAGATATACGAAAGCTAATTAAAAGTGACGCATTCAACAATATTTTGATTGATGCTGAATTGGATGCTTGGAAGGCAATCAAAGAAGTAATAGAACGCTTGTTGGGAAAGCATCGTTCTAGCAACTACGATATTTCTGTCGTAAGGATGGTAGAGCGTCGTTCTCGAAAATTGGCGTCCACATGTCCTTGATAATTCATTATTTATATCATCATCTGGACCAAGGTTTATATACAGGATGTTTAGAAGCTCAACGTCAAGCGGGTGAGAAACCAACCCATATCTGTTCTGGTAAAAATAAGAAAAAAATTACATGTCTCTTAGTTAAGTGGTAATAGATATTTTTGAAATCGTTCCCATACATCATATCTTTAGTAGTACGTAGTACGGTCAGAAATGTTCGCAATTTAATTATAATTTTTTTTAATAATGTATTCCTTATGAACCATGCAACTTTAGAAAAAATTTGCAAAAAAATATTAGTTTGATTGAGTTAAGGTTGAAAGAATTTTTGTCTATTAACTTTGACACACGATTTCCAAAAATAGGAGTGGTACAACACCCTTGACAAGTTATTTTAAAAGATGGTCTGTTTAGTCTAATTTCCAACATGCCACTTTTCTTTTCAGAAAAATATTATTGCCTATTTTTCTGCAAAAAAAAAACGCGTTATTTAAAAAATTCATACATTCGTATGTGATTTGTATTTCCTCCAAAATAACTTCACAACTTTGTAAGAAGATGTGCCACTCAATATTAACAGAGAAATGTGGTTTCAACAAGATGGTCGCCTAGCTCGTTATGCTTGTTCTGTACGGAATTGAATATAGAATATCCCGAATGATGGATTGAGTGTCTTGGTTTGATTACGTGGCCTCCCCATTCTCTGCGTCTAAATCCCCATGATTTTTTACAATTACATAAAAGAAACAGTGTTTTAAAAACCGATTGAAAATCTTGCCGAACTGCGCCACAATAATTATACTGCAGCAGAAGAAATAAATACAAAGAGATTTGCACAACTAATAAAAAGATCTTTTCTGCGACGATAGAGCTTGTATTAATGCCGACGGCAAACAAATTGAGCATTTGCTTTAGTTTTAAGAAAATAATACAAAAAAACCTTATTCGAAATAGTCCTTTTGCAAGACATAAGGGCAACCATCTTGTTGAAACCACATTTTGTTGTTCGTAGATATTGAGTGGCACATCTTCCAACAAAGTTAACAGCAAATAAAAGTAAATAGCAAAATGGGTATTGCTTGACGTTGAGTTTCGGGACACCTGTATAAGAGGGTGTCTAGATTTATAGGCAACCATACTGCGCATTACGTCATTGGCAGATAATAATACTGGAAATTAATTCAAATTTTTAAAATAATGTAATTGAATTACTTAAATATATTTAGTATGGTATTTAATTAAATGCTGTAGTAAAACGGAAAATAATTCAACTTAATTTGAAATTTGCTGTTGGAGTAGGCATGTGTTCTTCGAAGACATGGATGATCCTGATGATTAAGAATTTTCAGAAGGTGCAGTAGGGCCAGTAGTAGAGTCACAAATAGACTACCTAAGTCTGACGTCACAGAGATGGGGGGGTTATACCGACTCCAAACAATTTGGATGCTAACCACAGTTGCTAACGATAAATCGCCGTAAAAATGTCATTTAGTTTATTTTATTTTAAGACTTATTGAAAAATTGTATATGGCAATAGACAAACAAAGCCTTGACGTCACAGAGATAGGAGCTTATACCGACTCCAAATATTTTCGTTGCTAACGGTAAATCACCATATGCAATTTTTCAATTAATGTTAAAATAAAATAAATTAAGTGACTTTTTAACACGTTCACGTCCACGCAGATTTTTGGCAAGTTACCCGCCGGTCATCAGCGACCGCGAAAGTGTTAAATGACATTTTTATGGCGGTTTATCATTAGCAACGAAATTGTTTGGAATCGGTATAAGCTCCGCTCAGCTCTGTGAAGTCAGATTTAGGCAGTCTATTTACCATTAGCAACAGAATTAGTAACAAAATTGTTTGGAGTCGGTATAAGCTCCGCCCATCTCTGTGACGTCATAGCTTAAGTTGTCTATTGACAGGAAAAATCACTATTGAAAAGGTCTAGATCAATGTTTATGAGTAGATAAACTTTATTCTTCTTTAAACTTTGTTTTTCCTTAATTTTTGTTAATAATTTCCATTACTTTTTTATAGTTACAATTCGTAGAACTCGAGTAAAGATGTTATTTTTCAAAGAGAATTTGCTTTTTTCGAAATAATTTGACAATTTCTTGAAGATTTCATTCGATAAAATTAGTCCAACTTAATTTTTGACATAGATATATTAATAAATTTTTTTAATTTAAGCCTTAGCAACAATTTTACTGCAGAATGAAATGAGAAATCTTAAATGGTTCTTGAGTTATAACTGAAAAACTAAGCAAATAAACATCAAGATAAGGAAATAGTATAAAAGGTCATACAAAAAAATGTGGGCTGAGAACGCCAAACCCTTTGGAGGTTTTAATATATTAACCTAGTACTTTGGCCACTGATTTGGAATTTCTCACCCTCCAGAATGGCTGTTGCACTGTGTTACAGTAAACCAAGGTTGCCAGGTCATAGACGAAGTAAAGTCATAGCATTTTCAACTCGAATTATAGGTTACTGTAAATTTCTCTATTAGCACATCTATTCACCGCTAGATGGCGCTAAGAAATTATTTAAAATGTGATATTTTTTCCTTTTAATTATATCACTTTTATATACAAACGTGGTCTAAACCATTTTACTTGAATCCTATGCCTATTATATGTAACACATATTATTAAAATTGAGTGATTTTTAAACAAATTTCAACATCTCACGATTTTTTATGATATAGGTAGCGACATTTTATGTGTGTAACCTGGCAACCCTGCTACATAGAGTTTAATTAATCCAGAACACTGGTAAATTCAGAAACATTCCAGATTATCAGAATGATAATATTAATAATAATGTTAATTTGATAAATAAAATTTTTACCTGTTGCTTGATCACTATTAATAGCCTTAATAGCTTCCAAGCTTCCAATACACCTCAATAAAGCAGTACCACCACCAGGAACGATTCCTTCTTCAACCGCAGCCCGCGTAGCATTCAACGCGTCATTAACTCGATCCTTCTTCTCATTAACTTCAACTTCACTGCTTCCTCCAACTTTTAAAACGGCAACTCCCGAAGCTAAGCGGGCTAATCTTTCTTGGTATTTCTCCTTTTCATACTCAGATGACGTTGTGCTAATCAATTCTCTTATTTGTTCCGCACGTCTTTCAATATCGTCCTTTTTGCCTTTTCCCTTCAAAAGTAACGTGTCGTCTTTGGTGATGACAACTTCACCAACTTGTCCCAAGTCTGTTAATTGGACATCTTCTAATTTTGTGATTCCAGATTCATCACCAATTACCATTCCTCCGGTTGCGATGGCGATATCTTGGAGTGTCGCTTTGCGGTTGTCACCAAAACCTGGTGCTTTTACGGCAGCGATTTGGAGCCCAATACGAAGTCGGTTAACTACTAATGTGGTTAAAGCTTCGCCATCGACGTCTTCAGCGATGATGATGAGCGGTTTGCGTTGCGTGTTTGCTAATTCTAAAGCTGGGACTATACTTTGTACTGAGGAGATTTTCTTTTCTGATAATAAAAGTAAGGCGTCTTGATATTCAACTTTGGCTCCTTTGGTTGTGTTAACGAAATAAGGCGAAATGAATCCACGGTCGAATTTCATTCCTTCAATAACATCCAATTCGTCGTTTAAAGTTTTTCCATCCTTAACAGTAATTACTCCATCTTTTCCAACTTTCTTCATAGCATCAGAAATTAAATTTCCAATGTTTACATCGCCGTTGGCGGAAATTGTGGCAACTTGTGCTACTTCTTCTGGTGTTGTGACCGGTTTAGATAAGGACTTTAATGTAGCTGTGATCTTTTCAACAGCTAACATAATTCCTTTTCTGATTTCAACAGGATTGGCCCCTTTTCCTAAGTTATCAAAACCTTCTTTGGCAATAGATCTAGCTAAAACTGTAGCAGTGGTGGTTCCATCACCAGCTTCCTCATTGGTGTTATTAGCGACGTCCTGCACTAAACGCGCCCCAATGTTTTGAAATTTATCTTTTAATTCAACCCCTTTAGCTACTGTAACCCCATCTTTAGTAATTTTTGGTGAACCCCAAGATTGTTCAATAATAACGTTACGACCCTATTAATCAAAAATTAATCAAAGCTGTCAATAATACTATTTTTTTTTTACCTTTGGACCCATTGTAACAGCGACAGCATCAGCTAAAATGTGGACACCTTGAAGCATAAGGGCCCTAACCTCCGAACCAAAACGAACGTCCTTCGCGTAAAAACATCTTTGGACTTGGGCTATTTGGTTCGCTTGGCGAAGGGCCACGCTACGAAGGCTCGACGGTAAGCGATACATCTGTGTTGTAATTGAAAAAAAATCGTAAGGGAATATTTTCAAATTAGAAGATTAGTTTCGAAATAGGTTTTTGATAGTTGACAGAAAAAAAACAAAGTTACTCGATTGTCTTTTTCGATTTATCACGGCACTCTACATAGCGAGCACGCCGTGCAGTTACCAAAATGGCCGGTCAATTTCATAACCTCAAACAAATTTTAATCATAAATTCGTCATTTAAACTCTATTAACGCAACGCGTACGGGTTATATATCAACTAAAAGTTAAATTAAATTAATTTTAATTAAAGTTTTCTCGTTACTTTTAATATTAATTGATGAAAAGAATAAAATTGTTTTTATCATGAACATGTGACATCTTAATAAGCCGGGTTTTGGACGAAAATTAAAAAAATTGAGGTGTTATAAATGATAATTAATTAATTCTCTTACCTTTTATGGTTAATTTTTGTACAAAATAAGGAAATGTGGTGAAAATAGGTCGGTACTTGAAAGAAGAACGAACCAACACGCCTTTCAGAACCTATCTGAGAAAGACACCACCAAATGACGCCGGTTAATGATAGCAATTTTCCGGTAGATGTCGCCTAAAAAACATTAACAAAATTTATTTATTTATTGATAATTATTTATAATTTTAGATGTTAAGAGCGTAAAATTACTTATTTAATCAATTTAATCTGGCTTAATTAATTAAAAATGTTTTAATTCTTAAATTTGATGTCCCAAAATTTTAGTGCCATCTCTTAACACATATCGTAAGTATTCGTGGAAGTTTCTCGAAAAGTGAGATAGCTTAAGAAAGTTCAAAGTCTATCTAAACTTATCGTTTATCTAGAAACTTCTAAAGGCTAACTTTTTTTAACTAATTTTTAATATTTTACGTAATGTATTCTTTTTTTTAAATTATACTTGAAAACAAATTTTTCTTTAGTAACTACAGTGGCGGACAAAAGTCGACATACAGCATTGAATTAAGTTTTAAAAATTCGTATAAAATCGATTTGAAAATTTCCCAAAATGTTAATAAAAGTGTCCCCTTTCCAATGAACCAACACGTTTTGAAAAATAACTTTTAGGTTTTGAGAAAACAATATTTAAAGTTTTGATAAAATTTTCGATGTCGCAATTTTCATCGATTACTTTCAAAATTCGCTATAAAATTGATTTCTTGAAGGATCCTTGTGGAAATATCACCAATTATTAATTAAAGTATCCTCTTTTGAATGCAACAAGCCGTTTTGAAAAATCGCTTTTAGTTTTTGAGAAATAAATTTTTGAAATGATCCACAATTTTTAAGAATTTTGCTATTTTCGCCGATTAAGTTTAAAAAATTCGTATAAAATCGATTTCTTGGAGTATGAGTATGAAAATTTCTAAAAATGTTAATAAAAGTGTGCTCTTTCCAATGAATCAACCCGTTTTGAAAAATAACTTTTAGTTTTTGAGAAAATAATATTTGAAGTTTTGATAAAAATTTTGATGTTGCAATTTTCATCGATTACTTTCAAAATTCGCTATAAAATTGATTTCTTGAAGGATCCTTGTGGAAATATCACCAATTATTAATTAAAGTATCCTCTTTTTAATGCAACAAGCCGCTTTGAAAAATCGCTTTTAGTTTTTGAGAAATAAATTTTTGAAATGATCGACAATTTTTTCGAATTTTACAATTTTTGCCGATTAAGTTTTAAAAATTCGTATAAAATCCAGTTCTTGGAATATGAGTATGAACATTTCATCATTTAATGAATGGGGAATGAATTCCCAAATGAATTGAGCTAGAGTTATCAATACTATATTATTTGAATATTAAAAAAAGAAAATATTTATTCATAAACATTTTATTTAATAATACCAATATGACTCTTATATTTTAACAATTAAGTACGTTTTTAACTAAAATGCATTATCTTAAATTATTGCTTAAATTAGATAATATAGTTTTTAATAACAATAAAAATTTGTTTTGTATAAAATAGTAATCTAATTCGAAATACTTAAATTAAGTTGCCAAGTTCATCTCGAAATTGAGAATTTTTCGAACTGTAACTCTTAAAAACTATTAATAGACCGCTTGTTGGATTGATAAGAGATACGATTGAGTATCTCTTGTAAAAAATTAACTCAAAAAAATCATAAGAAAAACATAACTAAAAAAGATTATAACTAAAAACTGAACTTAGATCAATTTTAAGTACAATTGCCACAGTTTTAATCGACAATTTTTAATCTTAAGTAAAATTACCAAAGTAAGTATTAAATAATAATTATAACATAATTATCCGAATCCTTAATGAGATTTATTTTTTCAAATAAATTCATTCTTGTAAGGAATTCGGCGTTTAAAAACTATGTATGGGACGGATATCTAGACGTTCTAGTCGAGGAGTAACTTCTCGACTAAGAAAATAATCAAAAAAATAAAAACAAAATAAAACATAAAAACAAAAACAAACAAAAAAGACTTATACTAAAAATTAGATAAAAAATAAGGGCCACTTTTACAATAATTCCTTTTAAATTTACCTCAAATTAATGGGTTAGTTTAACAGGAAGATAATAAAAGTAGCCCAAATTAAAGTACTATACAGAGTGATTCGGGAGAAAATAGAAGACTTTTATCTTTATTATTGTTCAAAATATCTCTGAAACAAATTTCAAATGAACTTGAACTTACTGGATATGTCCTTATAATATTTCCTCGCGAATCACCCTGTATAACATTAAGTCGTTATATTTTATAATCAATAGAATATCACACATAAATTGTAATATACAAAGTGTTTTAAAATTTTATTGTTTTAAAACTCATTGTATATTAGTTTTGAATATAACCATTGCACAAAATAATATTAAATATTAAGTAAATATGTATATATGTTTAGCTGCTCGTAGGCCAACAATAAACAAATTGGAATGTTCCAGTATGGAATTATCTTATAATCTAAAATTAAAGCTATTTCATTCATAATATGTACATGAAAAAATAAGGAATAAAGACAATAATAAAAAAATTATATAATTTTATAACTACTTTTTGAAAATATAAAAATCTCCATTTTCGGTGATGTAGGTGTTATCTTGATGTAAAAAATTAGTCTTGATCTCATGGACTCACCGTACTTACAGCTAGAATAAATTTTATGTTATGTTAGAATTAAAAATAATATTAAAAATGATAATAATTTGATAAATTAATGATTTATTTTATATTTAAAATGATGAGTGACGAATCTTGATGATTTTTTAATGATCTTGATTATTTATATATCTCTGGTCTTACTCTTTGGGCTATTAGACATTGCCGGATTATCATAAGCGTAAACGATACTATCCTCAGCAGGAATCCTACTTATTCCCGTTGTCATCGTGGATGGACTATCAGATTTAACGGTTGTATCAGGAATATCAATTTTTAAATCCAATTTTTTATCGTTATGCTCAGCTTGAACATTATTTCCAACACCGTTTGATTTATTTCCATCTTGCTTCTAAAAAAACAAGTTAAGCGTATAAACAAAAATCCAGGCATTAAACATTTTTTTAACAATAGAATTAAAACTTCCTTTGCTTAGGCCCACTTTTACCATCCTCCTGACAAACTATCTAGAGGATAGTTGCCATGGTTACCACGGTTTTAAGCGCTCTCATTGGCTAAAGAACTGGATTTATCTATCGGATAAATTTATCAGGAGGTGGTAAAAGTGGGCCTTAATGAGTTAATTCAACTGTATTCTATAGTTGGTAATCATCGTTATTTATTGCTTTATGTATATCAAGCCATAACGACATAAACGCCAAAATGGTCATCTTTTACTTAGCTGCATCGTTGAACAGGATGTTTAAATTTGCAACCAATAGTTAAAGCGGTACGATCGCAAATAAACTTCAATCGCTACAATGTTTGTTTAAAATTTGCGCAAATGCCTATTTCAATACGATGTGATAAATGTTTTTTGTGTTTCCTGGAAAATCAAATAAACGTCGTTTATGCAGTTTTAGCTCCACAATAGCTGATATATCGAAATCAAGAAATTTAAGATTGATAAAACATTGCTGCCTAATTAGATGCACAGAATTAAGCAAAAGATATAGGTTGAACCTCATTTTCAGCACATGTCCTGTATGCTGTTGGACCAATATTTTCGTAATGAAATGCTTCCTGATATAGTAACACACCACAAATATTTATGCCACTACACCCGACTGTCATTACTCATTACAGACGAAATGTTGTCTCTAATAGGGTTATAAGAGACTATAAGGGACCAGTACAAGTGAATATTCAAAACGATCTTGAAAACAATATGAAGCAAATTAGATTTGACCAAATACTGCACAAGTTCCATCTGTATCGTAACCATTTTTTAGTCAACAATTATCGTTTTCGCAATTTAAGCCGTCTAATTACAAATTTGAATCATAATTTTAAATTCATGGTAGCTACATTGGGATTATTGATTCTATATAAAAAGTATTTACTATTCCCAGAGGACTAGGTACTGTTGATGAAAGACTAAATACTACTGGCAGAGAGTAGATACTATTTGCAGAAGATTACATACTGGTGTCAGAAGGCTAGATATTGATTTCAGAAGGGTAGATACTGTTAATAGAAGATCGGATACTTCTAATAAAAGATATTACTGGCAGAAAGTAGATACTACTACTGCTGGTAGACGACTATGTATTGATGACAGAAGGCTACATACTGCTAATAAAAGATACTACTGGCACAACACTAGACAATGCATGAAAAATAAGCACAAGTTTTAGTTTTTGGAATATTTTAAAAATTCACAAAGATATGACTGTTTTTACCGTGCATATACTGGTTGAGAATGTTTATCTTAAACTCTTCTCCTGAAAACTTGTATTTATTGAAATAGTTCATAAGATTACACAAAATCTAATCGACCGATTTATTAATCCGGTCGTATTTTGCACATAAATACATTCTCTATAGCCGGAACTATAATTATTTCAATCCGCTAAAATTTACATTTTTTTTAGTCTGTTAAATTGAAGAAACACATATTATGAAAGACATGTTAATTTTTAACAAGCCGCCATTTTTGTTTCTTTCATTTTTTAACAAAGATTTTAGTACAAGCTAGAATCACAACATTAGTGATTAAAATAAATTTGGTTTTATTCCTTTCGTAGTGTTAGAAGAGGAGTTATTGTGTGAACGATGCAGAAACATATAGCTAAAATAAAGCTATATACTCGTAATGGAAAACTAAATATAGCTAATAAAAGCCTAAATAGCAGACTAAAATGCAGAATACTAGATATTTCTGTCAAAAGACTCGAAACTACAGGCAAAAGACTAGACAGTACTAGCAGAAAACTAGATATTGATGGTAGAATGCTACATATTGCTATTAAGAGATTGCACACTGCTAATAAAAGATACTGCTAGCAAAAGATTAGGTGTCGCTGGCAGAAGACTAGATACTGTTAATGGAATACTAGATACTCCTAATAGAAGGCTATATAGTGCTAATGGAAGACTAGATACTGCTAATGAAGGACTAAAAACTACTTGTATAACACTAGATATTTCTGTCGAAAGATTCAAAACTGGAGATAAAAGACTACACACTGCTAGTAGCAAAATAGAAACATTTTAATTACAGTACATTCAAAGCTTATAGATAAATCAAAATGTTGAGGTCAATCAAAATGATAGCTCGCGGAAAAGTTATCAATTTATAAAATAATAATAATATACAACTTGCAGAAGATTGCATTCTGCTGTCAGAAGACTAAATAATATTGACAGAACGCTAGCTCCTGCTGATTGAAGATCGTACACTGCTAATAAAAGATACTACTGGCACAAGGTGGATACTACTTGCAGAAGACTATTATTCATAGCAGAAGGCTAGATACTGCTAGCAAAAAATAGTAACACCTAATTACTATTTATATTTGAAATTTAAAAAAATCGATTTTTTATTCACTATTTTGATTCTATAATGTATGGATGATCAGCAGAAGCTTTAGTTTTTGGAATATTTTAAAACATGTCGAAAATATGACCATTTTCTCTTCTAAAAAGTTTGGTTTCTTTCATTTTTTTAACAAAGATTTTAGTATAGGCTAGAATCACAATATTAGGTGTCGCTGGCAGTAGACTAGATAGTGTTAATGGAATAGTAGATACTGCTAATAAAGGACTAAATACTACTTGTATAACACTAGATATTTCTATCGAAAGACTCAAAACTGCAGATAAAAGACTACACACTGCTGGTAGCAAAATAGAAAATTTTCATTACAGTACATTTAAAGCTTATCGATAAATCAAAATGTTGAGGTCGAATTTTTGTTTAATTAGAATACTTTCTAGATAGCTCGCGGAAAAGTTGTCAGTTTATAAAATAATTAATAATAAACAACTTGCAGAAGATTGTATACTGTTATCGGAAGACTAAATGTTACTGACAGAAGGCTAGCTCCTGCTGATTGAGGATCGTACACTGCTAATAAACGATACTACTTTCACAAGGTGGATTCTACTTGCTGAAGATTAAATACTGCGGATAGAAGACTAGATATTGATGGCAGAAGGCTAGATAGTGCTAGTAGAATATTGGACACTGCTAATAAAAGATACTGCTGGCAGAAGACTAGATACTGCTAGTAAAAGATTAAGAATCGCTAAAATGCTATTTTATGAAGAAAACATCAAGCTACCATCTGTACAAAATTGAAATTTTTTCGTCAGATAGTTTTTAAGAAAAAAATTCGCAAAATGGACTAAGTTGCCGGCACCGTAAAAAATCGGGTACTTTTTTCATTTAACTCGCGATAAAAAGAAAACCGCGTATTTGAAAATTTTGAAATTAACATATGTTATGTAGAAATGTTCAGTGATTACAACAAACTTTGTCGCAATTTTCTTTATTGAGCGGTTGCGAAGATATCTGTCTTTAAAGTGAGGTTCCTTGACTTTTGGCACCGATAATAGATACTGTTAATGGAATACCAGGTACTGTTAATAGATGGCTATATATTCCTAATGGAAGACTAGATACTGGTAATAAAACACTAAATACTACTTGCAGAAAACTATATATTGCTGTCAAAAGACTAGACAGTGCTGACAAAAGACTAAATATTGATTGTAGACAGCTACATATTGCTAGCAAAAGATTAGGTGCTGCTGGCAGAGGACTAGATACTGCTAATGGAATACTAGGTAATCGAAAGACTCAAAACTGCTGGCAGAACACTATAAACATTTTTAGTCAAAACGTATAGACTCATAAAAATGTTGAGGTCAAACTTTTGCATGATTAGTACAGTTTTAGACACCTCGCGAAAAATAATTAGTTTATAAAACAATCAGTGCAGTATCAAAATTAATGAATGTTATAAAAATAATTTCCGGGCTATTAAAATATCAAATTATGACTCAAGATAGATGTTTTATTTCCCTAAAACTGAGAAAAATAAGCAAACAAAATTTTCAACAAAATAACAACAAAATACAACAAAATAGTCGGAATGGAATAGTTCTAGCAGGAAGTGAACATTTAGCAGCTGATGGTTGTGGAGATTTACATAAAAATATCAAAATGGTTGGAATAAACATTAAATGTGTTGGCATTTTCGGTTTCAACCGTTTATAATCTTTCCAAAAGAATATAACGCTAATCTTGTGAGAGAAATAGTTGTTGGTATGGACAATAAAGGCAAAGAAAATTAGCCATTAAATTGCTATCTATAAGTGTAAGCTTTGTTAGGGAAACTCTGACTCGCATAAAGCGATTGACGAGTTTCTTTATTTCTTCAGAAATGATTTTAGAACAACATGTAGCAATTCAGATGATAACCTAACCTGATATATATCTGTTAGTAAACAATTTATTACTTTGTTGAATTATTTAGATCTTAGATACATAACCTGAAACATCATTTTTTTAAACAGTCACTTTTAACATCATCCTAAACTTGCATAAAAATCTAATTTTGTAGTTAAATGTTCTTTATAAAGTTTATTATTTAATTTACGATAAATATAATTCTTACTTCTTAGTTTAGAATTTAAAAAAATTGTTAGTTTTAATAAAAATTTTAATTTAATTTTCTTTTATAATATAATTTCTTTAATAATAAAAAATCCTCGATAAATCTGCATTAAGCAAATTAAAGTGGCGACCACCCTGTTAAAAAAAATTATAATAATAAAATTAAAAAGAGTTACCTTAAAAACAGCTCGTATGTTTTTCAAACTAATTTTTTTCTGTTGATTCAAAATCATGATTAACAATCCAATAAAACCTAGTATCAAAATGACTATGAGTGCTATAGATACGTTAAATTTTACTTTAAGACCATTAATTAAAGCTAAAAAACAATAAATTTTAAACTTAAAACTAATAATTTCAAAATTTACTTACAAATTGTATCTGGGGATTCGTTTTCTTTCTCATAATACCGTTGATCGAAAAAATACACTGCAACGAAAAACCTTATTATTATTACTTATTTAAGAAATCTAGACCACGTTCTTAATTTTCTAAAACTCTCAACGTTTTCACTTTGAAATTGTTTAGAATAAACTAACTGTTATTGGAGCGTCCATACATTTAAAAACATTCAATCACCGCAAAATTTATTCATAATTTTTAATGATAAATCATTAATAATCATTTTTATAGAAAAAATGATAAAACTTTTTCGTTACTAATTCTAAATTCATTTATAATCAATCGGCCGCTTTTGTATTATTCATCCATTCAGAACTATGGAAAAAATTCAACCAAAAGATAAGAATTAAACTATTTTAACCACATAAGAATTTAAATTTGAATCATTTGCATTCCTTTAAAAAGATAGCTTAATTTTAGGTCGTAATACGACATTGAAATCACGTTTGAATGAGGTGATTTATTTGTGTTGAGTAATTTGAGCTATTGTTAATTTAGTTGTTTAATCGGCTGATTACATATTTTCTTTTGGTTTATATTTCATGTTGCTGAATCATCAAATATTATCGCTTTAAATGTTACATAAAAAATGTTATCTTCATTTTTAGAGGTAAATAATTAAACTTTCAAATGAGTCGTAGATAAGTTGAAATTATTAACTGGTATTTAATTTGACCACTAATTCTATTTTAAATACCCACCGAAAAATTTCTAAGAAAATAACAAATTAATCTTACACAATCAATATATTTTTAGCCACGATACATCATCAAAACAGAAAAAAAAGTGCGCAAAAAGAATTAAATCAGACGAAATTTATTACAGAAATTTTATTTCAAAAAATCTCCTCCATTTTTATTTTCTTACCTTGGCATTCCGATAAACATTTAAGTTGATCAAAATTGTGATCAGGTGAACAAACTTTTCTGCAATGTTCGCAATGAAAAGTTTGTCGATCACAATAATTATAAATCTCGCATTGATGTTGTCCACAAGTTGGCCCCAAAAGGCGTTCCTCACTGAAACTTCCACCGATGAAGAATAAGCAAACCACCAAAATCGCTGCACTTTTTGCCATTTTTCAAAATCGACTACATCTTTTTTGAAACTACCTCAATGGTGGGTTCTTTTTGGTGGATTTGTTCTCAATAGAAACGGTAAGCAACAGGTGGTGTGGTACGTCTAAGGTGAGTCACTGTTAGAGTGACGCTTTCGAGGTAGTACTGCTTCACTGTGTGCAGTCTGTGTGAAAAACGGCAAGAATGTTACCGAACAGGTAACCGAACCCCACCTGTTTCGGTAACGTTATTGTTCGGATTTAAAAGCGGGAAAATTCAATTTATAAAATTTCCTTAAAGAAACTGCAAAATATTTTTTGTTAAAGTGGTCTTTTTCAAAACCATTTTGATGAATTAATTAAGAAATGGTTTTAAAGACGTATTGTATTAAAATGTTTTGTTTTTTTTTATGGTCGAATTTTTGTTTGTACTAAGATAAGAGAATGTGTGTCTTAAGATTATAATATTTAAGATGAAGTTTAAATAATAGAGGTTGTAAACAATGATAAAAATTTTAAATTTAAATTTGCAAGAATCATTTTTATATTTTTGAATGTATTTCATAGAACATTTTTATTACTCCGAAAGAATTGAAGAAAGTTGACCGATTTAACGTTTAAACATGCTCGTTTTCCCGGTATGATGTGACGTCATCACAATGGCGGTATCAAATTAATTAATTTCCAGTGTTTAGAGTGACTATAAGATGTTAATTTTGGTTTTTAAACTTAAAGTGCAACATCTCCACGAACAAAATACTTCCAAACTGTACTATATTCATCACATGGTGGCTAGAGAGCTAGAAAAGAATTTTGCCAGATTTATTTTTAGCAATGCAAAGTAGACATAAACCAAAATTGTTAACACAAAATAATTTGAATAGTTAGGGAAGACATGCCTAAATCAATATCTGGCATGTTTGCTCATCTTATAAAGTTCCCCCGACATATTTGACGTTGGTTTCTAGGATGCTTTGTTAAGTGGAGCCGATAAAACCCAGTGCTTGACATAACTAACAATTAAAAATTTTCTCATCATCGATAATTCCTTAACTCTGGAATGCTACTTGAGGTACACCTGTACCCCAAGACCGCCGTGAATTTGTACCCTATTTGGTGAAATAAGGACATTTCAAAAAGAATAAAGCTTCGCTCGCTGAACAGCAATGTAAAATCAGTCTTCCTTTATGGGTGTGAAGCAAGGAAGATCACGAAGGGGATGTTGAATCCAATGAAGACTTGTGGGAGAGAACAAACCGACAACCAATTAGTGATTAAATCAAGGAGAAGAGATGGCGTTGGATTGGTCACACGCCAAGGAAGCTTCATGGAGCAAATGAGATGTCAGCGCTTGACTAGAACCCCCAAGGAACATTGCGATGAGGGCGCGAAGAAAGACGTGGAAGAGTACTGTTGAGGAAGAAGCAATGGAAGTCGGGAAAAAGGTGGAGAGAAGTAAAACGCCTATGTTCCACTAAAAACGGCAAAAAGTAAATAAATCTGTACATTCTTTTCATCAGTTGCTATATAAATATAATATTTTCTTCAACACAGCAGGCTTAGTCTCTCGTCTAGGTAAGTTTAGAGTAGGGATGCTAACGAGGATGATAACTAAAATGAATTTAATAAATCATTCTTGAGTTACAGTTGGTATAGTGGTGCATATTTCTAGCACAATTCTTGCAAATATTTGTATCAGTATCATAACTAAACTACCTGTTCTCGCAGCTTCCCTCCCTGGTTTAATATTGAAGTATAGCAACATGGTGTTTTTCTTTTTTCTTCTGCATAAAATTATAAATTCGTCTAAATAGATCATCAAAACACTGTTAACACATTGGTACCTAGTTGAGATAATAATCACATGTAGCTGAAACCATAATGTTTTCTATCAACCAACAGTTAATAGCCCATAATGTTTGAAGTACACCCAACATGATGGGTTCACCGGTAGCATGGAATTGAGTCAAATATATTAGGCCTGTTTTGGTTCAAGAGTTCTGTCAAAACAGGCCTATTGAATTGCAGAAGTGCAGAAATAAACATCGCACAGTTTACAAGAGTTGGCCGAAATGAAGAGACTTCGCCAATTCGATTATTTTATAATCTTTAGCGATGAGTTTCATTGTCACTATAATGGTTTCGCTAATAAACACAGTTGCTGAGCCATAAGGGCGTTTCTAATGTACTACATCACAATCTTGGGTTGGGTCCAAATCGTCGAGGTCGCTTGCGGGCGAGTCGCTGCATTAGATTAATATGAAATCGTCATTTTGGAGAATTCTAGCGCTTGGCCCGCAAGCAACCTTGGCGGTTTGAGAGTAAATCTTTTCTTGTAAGTGAGTTGGTATTTTTACCAAGATATTATTAGCAAATTAAATAGTATTTGGCTTAAAATTCTATTATACCAAAACAGCAATCAAGGTTTAGAGAGGGGTATAGTTGTACTACGTTACTGTTGAATGTATGGGATGATATAATTTCGGCAATTGATAAGGGTAAAATGTGTGCATTGGTTTTGCTTGACTACAGTAAAGCTTTTGACACTATTAATCACGAGTTACTGCTGTCCATTTTGGGTCATATTGGTTTCGAAAATTGTTCTGTGGATCTTTTGGGGAGTTATCTGTTTGGCCGCCGTCAGTTGGTTCGGTTGGGCAATGAATACTCGGATCCCTTTCCGGTTCCTTCTGGAGTTCTGCAGGGATCCATATTGGGGCCATTATTATTTATTATTTACATGTTTAATTTGCATTCCTCGGTGAGGAACTGTAAAATGCATTGTTTCGCTGATGATACACAGATCTACATTGATTTTCCTGTTGATAATAATCTACATTGATAGGGGATCTAGAGAATTTGGTGAAGGCTTAAAACTCAATTCCACAAAGTCGACATATATGATATTCGGAGGAACTAGGGGTAAGGAAACTGTAAATGATTTCAGAGTTGACGTTGGTGGTGTCACCTTAAATAGATACGAACCTAAAATTTAGACAACACATTAGTAATTGTATGAAAAAAGCTTATATGAACTTAAAAAATATTTATGCAAGCAGGAAAATGTTGCCTAAAAAGCTGTTATTAAATACTCTACTATCCGTGCAAAAAGTCAAGGCCCCTCACTTTAGAGATCGATATCTTCGTAACCGCTCGATGGAAAAAATTGGGGTAAAGTTTATTGTAATCAGTGAACATTTCTGCGTATCACATGTTAATTTGGAAATTTTCGGGTCCGCGGTTTTACTTTTATCGCGAGTTAAGTGAAAAAAGTACCCGATTTTTGAGAGTGCCAGCAACTTTGTCTACTTTGCGATTTTTTTTCTCCAAAACTATTTGACGAAAAAATTTCAAATTTGAATTGGTGGTAAACCGATGTGTTCTTAATGTGGGGCATATTTTATTTTTTCGATATTCCATATAGTTTCGCGGAAAATCGCGGATTAGTAGGATGCGGTTATTTCGAAAACCACCTGGCGGATTTCAACGCGGTTTTTACCAAAATATGTCAAATAATGTCGGTTGTCGGATTCCGTTATGAGATTTTCAAAATTAGGACTCCCTAATATTTTAAGAGCGATTTAATGGAATTACAAATTAAAGAGAAACAGAAATAAGCTATGCGGGGAGAGAAGGGTTCCGTCCAATCGGAACAGATGGTTTGTCCCAGACAGTACGTCGCGCCTTTATCTTACCTACATAAAGAAATAAGGCGCGACGTCCTGTCTGGGACGCACCATCTGTTCCGATTGGACGGAAACCCCGTCACCCCGCAGAGCTTATGTCTGTTTCTCTTTAATTTATCATTCCATTAAATCGCTATTAAAAAATTAGGGAACTCTAATTTTGAAAAACTGACAAGGGAATCCAATAACCGACATTATTTGACATATTTTGGTCAAATCAGCGAGGAAATCCACCCAGCCGTTTTCGACATAACGGCGTCTTACTAAACCGCGATTTTCCGCGAAAATGTATGGAATATCGAAAAAATAAAATATGCCACTCATTAAGAACACACCAGGCTACCACCTGTTCAAAATTCAAATTTTTTCGTACGATAGTTTTCGAGAAAAAAAATTGCAAAGTTAACAAAGTTGCCGGTACCGTAAAAAATCGTGTACTTTTTTCATTTAACTCGCGATAAAAGGAAAATCGTAGATCCGAAAATTTTCAAATTAACATATGTTACGTAGAAATGTTCAGTGATTACAACAAACTTTGTCGCAATTTTTTTTATCGAGCGGTTGCGAAGATATCGATCTCTAAAGTGAGGGGCCTTGACTTTTTGCACGGATAGTAATGTTGTCTCATTTCGATTATGCTGATGTAGTCTACGGTTCGTGTGTTCATGGACGGGATTTATGAACAAATATATAAAGAACTGGATTTGATGTATGAATACGAATTATCAACTTTAGAAGATTCTAGACATTTCTTAGACGGACAGTATTCGTGTTATTATGCAATCATTCACGAAGAAATCAGAAACATCTGATGATATATTTCAGAAGAATACAGAATTATAATATAGTATATATCATTGATATGATGCATCGTTATTAAAAAAATTAAAAATGAAACGACTTTTTTTTGTTCAAATATGTTTATTAACAACAAACACATCGTTACACATCATCCCTGTTTTTGTACTAAAAATAACAATTGACCTTTTATACAGACACGACATGAGCCCTATTTTAAATTTAAATTTTATTTATTTGTGGTTTTGACATACAGAGACACTTTGGGGATAAAAGTACCTAAGTAGATTATTAAAAGTTCTAAAAATGTGTCGCAATCTAATTACTACGGTTTCTTTCTCTTTTTACACATTCATTTTAAAAAATCTATCGTATATAAACTATGACACGTTTACAGTATTAAATTGTATAATTATAATTAAATTCATTAATTTCTTGTAATTCATGTAGTAATAATGTTTCAGTCGATTTTTTTTGCTATATCGTCATATTAGCACATATATTTTTTATTACACATCTATTATAATAAGATATTTTAGACATATATTTTTTTAACTGAAATTAAATTTGGCTCTACTTTATTAATTTATTAATAATTAGTCGAATTGATATGTTAGCAAACACCTTTTTTTTGCTGGTCTACGGGTTTAATTAACTTTTTTTTTAATTTTATTTAAATTTATTAGTATTTTAAATATTTACGTTAATACTTTTATAATAATACAATATAAAAAAACACAATTCATTAAATTTTTCGTTAATAAATTGTACTTTTTTTAACAAAATAATTAAAGCGACAGTCCTAAAATTATTATTTCGCGTATCACAATTGGTTTAATGTAGCTTAATTTAAATACTTCTCTTCTAAATACATTTTTTTTCCACATTTTAAAAAAGGGACGCAAAAATTCATTTCTAACTTTTTTTTTACATTTTTTTTTATTTTTTTATTAAGTGTAACTAAATAAAATTAATCCAATTAATTATTAAGTCGTGATATTCGGAAATGTTGATGACAATTCGGAGATATCTTCAGATGTTGTTTCCGTTTCAAAATCGTTTGTTGTAGCATCGGCGTATAAAACATCCGGTAACATTCCACCGTCTTCGGTTAACTCATCGGGAATTTTTTCAACTTCTTCAGTCGGTGGAATCGTTGTAGTTTCGGTAAATTCAGATTCTTGTCCTTTGGGAGTTGTAATTGGTAAAGAGGGAATAGGGAGAGTTTCGCCATCAACAAAAAGAACTTTATCGATGTAAAACATTGTGCCAAGATTATAAACGAATACTTCGCTTTCAATGATTGTTGCGTTATTTATTTTAACAACACCTAAAAAAATTGGATTAAACAAAATAAGAAAAAAAAAAGTTTTATTCTAACCATCATCTCTTGAAATCTCCATACTTCTATCGCCTAAGCTTTTCAATAAAATTCCATCTTTTAAATCTTTATCATAAAGTCTTCCCTTAACGAAATGATTCAATAAAATTTGTAGCCCCGATCCCGTCGATAAATAATTATCCGGCATTTTATCTAATCCCAATTCCTCAAACGCCGAATCCATCGGTACGAAGAAAGTGTAACCAGTGCCCGAAACGTGTGGTGCTAAATCTGCTAAATTTAAAAACCTCGTGATGTGTGTGAATCGTTTATCTCGTTCTAAAGCCAAAAAGGCATGCGATAAAAACTGGGCGCCAAACCATGGGAAAGCCAACAATGGAGGTGTTTCTTTGTCTCGGTGCTGTTGGTGTAATCTCGAAACTACAGCTTCGCTTACAAATAAAACTTCGGCTATAAACATGATGTTGCCTTTTGAAATTGGGGTATCACCTTTTATAACGGACGCCCCGTTTACCAAAAGCGAAGCTAAAAATTATTTGTCTTAAAAAATGTTGTATTCATATACATTATTTTCATTGAAAAGGGAACAAAGAAATTTTTAATCATCAAAAACATACAAACTCGTGTATACATTTGGTTGAATGAGCTTGAATTTCAATTTCACCGCTTTGTTATTGATTTTAACTTTGATTGGCGTTAAAAAAAAAATACCTACGATTCTTCTTAAACGTAACCTCTCTTCCACCTAAAGTTTTAACGGTTTCGCCATTTTTAATCCCATCCTGTTTCAGTTTACCCTTAACAAAATGGTTAACTATGATGCTTTCAGTGAACTCGGGCACACTGAAAGGATAAAAACCCCAATCTATTGGATGCCAACGTTGAAAAGCGTGGTCCGTTGGAATAAAAACCGTATATTCAGCATCTAAAAAAATCCTGAAAATATACAAGTTTAAATTAAAAAAGTTCTTACCATCATCGATTAACCGTGAAACATTTGATCTCGATAGAAAATGTTGAAATACCCTCACACCACTTTTTAATAACGATAAAACCTGCATAACGTTATCAATGAACGAACCGTTTTGCGTGGTATGAGTCGTTTGTTGAACATTTTGGTGTTCTTTTAACCCAACCGTTGAACAGTTTTTTCCAATTTTCAGTGTAGCATCAGGAAAGAGATAACGATCGAGGATGATGAGGTGCCCGTTTGGAACCGAGACACCTCGTTCCAGTACATTCGCATCGTTTGCTACAAAACTTCCTTTTGCACCTTCCTTAGAAACCGTTTCCTTTACCCTAACAGTTTTTCCGCTCGCCGTTGTTGCCGTTATTGCGGTTCCATTTGTTTTATTTAAATCCAACTTTTCTCCTATTACGATATGATCGAGCAACAGGTTCTTTACTAAATCCGGCTGCGATAGTAAACATTCTTTTTTTAGCTCGACCGAATTTCGAACGGCGAATATCGTGAAAGGTTGATCTGGAAAATAAAAACTAAAATTAGATTAAATTTAAAACACGGTTATAACGAAATCGTTAAAGTTATGCGCTTTTAACGCATAGATTGAGTTATGTTTATTAACGTAGACGATGGTGTGCCGAGATTTAATTAATTGTTCTTGCGCAATGATGTATAAGCTTTAATTGTAAAGCTACGAACCGTATAACAAGTCAAGGCAAGGCAATTGATGTTTAATTAGTTAATTAAACTTCCCCTTGGGTTTTATACGAATCCTACAAAAACAATAATTATAACTTAAATAAAATAGTTTTAATCTTGGTTGTTTCAAAGAGTAAATATAACAATTCTTTTACTTTAAGAAGGCGCCATCTATATTCTACTAGGATCCCTATAATATACATTAAGATTTCATGAAAGCAATAAAACTAAAACCTAGTTTTTTTAGTTTGGACGACCATAATATAAACGAATTGTATTTCATGTCATCTGCACATATTGGGCCACCGTTACTTTATTCCCATCTAAACCCATAAAGATAAAGCAATTAGAATTTTTTTACTTAAATATATCCATCGTAGTGAATAACTTTTTAACATCGAATCACAAGAACTCATAAAATACGATTAGATGCTTAAAAATGGATGTTCCAACCAATGAAAAGTAATAAAAAATAAACATAAACAAGTAAGATCCAATGAATTAACGTTTATTTTTATAGCTAACTGTAATGAATATATTCTACTATTAAGCACATTTAAGTTGCTAAGACAAAACTTAACTAAGAAAGTATTGGGAAAACTCAATAATAGCATCAATATAATAGTACGCGATCTTAAAAGCAGATGTTATCTGGCTCGTAACTCTACAGTCGTTACAAAACAGATCATCTCAAAGTAATGAAAATTAAGGCTAGGACATTGAATCATAGTGGAGTTACTGCAACAAAACTTAAGGTTGGTATAACCTTTATTGGTGCTCGTAGACAAGTTATCAATAGGAATTGATTTGATGTTAAAAAGGAAGTTTTTAGGATTTCGATGTATATATGTTGAGCCAATTTTTTGTAAATGAAGGTAAATATTGTTGTTTAACATGGTTCTCTAGTGGCCGCACCCATAATGCCCATTTTGGCAAGCGTCTACCTCATTTGGCTAAGTGTCGAAAGCTGAAATTTGATGCGTTTTGCAGAAATTAAAGTTTAGTAGTACTAGTGATATATATGGTGTTTTTGTTCTTTTCAAAAATCAAACGATGTTTTCCGATTCTGTGCACACTTTCTTGCCAGCAGTGTCTATTCTTCTATTACTAATAAATAGTCATCTATTGGTAGTATCTAGGTTTTTACCAGCAATATCTAGTTTTCTACCAGTAGTATGTAGTCTTTGGCAAGTAATACCTATATATAGCAACATCTGGTGTTCTGCAAGTAGTATATTCATCTATACTGAGGTAGCTGATATTATCAAATATCTAAAAAAATTGAAGACATCTATGGATGCTCAACATATATAATTAAACAGGTGACTGCTGAAATAGTTCCAATTTTGACAATCATATTGCATAGAAGAGGGATTTTTTCCAGACAAACTTAAGATGGTTAGGACCTCTCCGGTATTTAAGAAGGGAAACGACAGTAAATATGAAAATTATCGTCCAATTGCCTTGCTAATGATCCAATAATCAGGATCATAAATGAGATAACAACGGCACATGATGAATTTGAAAAAACCAAATTGATATGCTATGATTTCAGTAAAGCTTGCGATACTGTAGATCACAGTCTACTTCTAAACAAATTGCACTTTTATGGAATAAGAGGTACATCCTATAAACTCATTTAATCTTACCTCTCCAATAGGTATCAGTGTATGGGAAGGAGAAGTTTCCAATATGAAGAAATGCGTCTGTGGGATCCCTCAAGGGTCCATCCTTGGCCCCTTACTTTTTATTATATATATGTAAATGACATGCCGGACTGTGTGACTGGAGTTACTTCCTGCTTTTACGCCGACAACACAACGTTTGTAGTGCGAGACAGTACATTGGATGATGACTGATTGGATGAGAGCAAATAGATTGGTACTAAACCCAATTCATGAAATTGTTCTGCAACTTTTTTGATAATTTCTACAGTATAACCTAAGAGTCTCTAATCGGAATGGTTAGCGATTGAACCTAGATTAACCATTCTGACAACGTCTCCAATAGAACCCCTCCCAAGACCAAACAATAGCACCACATTTTTTCTTTATTTTAGATCATTTGTAATTCATGATTCATTCGCTCAACCAATTTCTGTCAGTCATTAACAATTTCAAAATTCAGCCAATAATATCTCACTTGATAAGTATCTAATCAGCGATACGTTGCCAAAAAATTAAAATGATAATGCGACAGAACAATAAAATATTATGAGATATAAGCAAAAACCTTTCGTAAGTGTTACAATAGCTATGTTAACTATAATCGGGTTTTTAGTACTTTTACTAGGTCTTAAACCAAACTGATTTATAAAAAGCTTACTCAACCTGATCAGTAATTAGGTTGCACATCACCCTTTCAATTTTTTTGGATAATCTTGCACAAGTATTAATAGGACTATAATTCTTAATGTCTCTTTTATTATCATGCTTGTTATCGGACAGAAAATTATCAATTATCAAAAAATCTTTTCACCAGGCGAAGGATATACATGATCCGCGAAAGTATAGTTTAGACGAGATACAAAATTAGCATAGCCGAAAATCCAGCTATATATAAAGCTGCGCTGTCAGCAGACACCTCGAATGAGATACTGTCTATAGATGTATACTACTTGAAGAGCACTAGATATTGCTTGTAGAAGACTTCCTACTGCTGGTAAAAGACTAGATATTGCTGAAAAAGACGAGATAATGCCGATAGATGACAATATATTACTTGCAGGAGACTAGATATTGCTGGTAAAGAACTAAACACTGCCGATAGATGACTATATATTACTTGTAGAAGACTAAATACTGCTGGCAAAAGACTTGATAATGCCTATAGATGAATATATATTACTTGCAAAATACTAGATATTGCCGATAGAGTACTAGATATTGTTGGGAAAAGACTAAATACTGCCTATAGATGAATACGCCTGATGATCAAGCCTGCAACCGTGATGCAAGCAACTCTGCATGATTGGAAATATCTTGACTGCGGAACATAAGACATTATGTACAGGAAAAAGATATGAAGCGTTTCAACAACTCTTCATTCAAAATCGAAAGGAATGGTGTTGGTTTATCGACTACTGTTGGACTCTAATACGTGAAACGGATCCTAAAATATACAAACGACCCTGCTCATTTTTGATTTATCACTTGATAATTACCTTAGAAATAACATTTGCTTGCTTAGGTCCAAAACCGTGTAACTTGTATATCTAATTGAAAATACCTACAAAATTATTTTAGACAAATATGGTGCTGATGGATGATGAGGATGTTTTACACACGCGCTTTAGGGGTGTATGTTGGTATGCCACCAGAACCATAAAAGGTTGTACCACCATATTAGGAACAGGGCGAAATATAACAATACACATTTGGCTGTCCAGTATTAATTTGGTTCATGAAATGCTAAAAGACCATAAACTAACCATAAGAACAGCAATGTGTCTAAACAAAATTTATAATAATCATAATCCAAGAATTTAAATACTTATTTCCACTAAATTTTGATCTTACTTAATCAAATAATGATAATTATCACATTATCGCGAATGATCTACTACATGTAGTGTAATTCTCTCTCTCTCTGTAATGGAGCTGGAACCCAAATTGATCCTTGGCCTTCTCTAGAAATTTCTAGAGAACAAATATAGTACTATTAGTCATGTAAAAATTTCCAATGCGTTTGCTGTAAGGTTAAGCGAGGTTTCCCGAAGATTTGTAACAAGGAGAAGCTTCATCCAAACACGAATGAAAATAAAATCAAGTAAGGATACTTCTTTATGACGTAAACCAACGTTTATCAAATAGGAAGTGGAATAACTTGCATCTCGTCTTTTAAAACTAAATTATTAATAAAATTACTTTGTTTTGAATCAGTGATATTTAATAAAGATTAAATTTCGCCATTTTACACAAATTTATAGAAAATAATAGAAGAGAATTTATTTTTTACAGAATATTTAGTAGTCGAAGATATGTTGGGGTGGCTTCTTGTTAAAAAAGGATATCATCGCAGTTTGTGTGATAATTTTTAGAAGAAAAAGAATAAGCAACTGGAAAAAGTTGTTTCTCCTGGGACTTTCTTTATATTAATGATGGAATGGACAGTGATTTTGCGAAAAGCCGGATTCGGCATCCCCTTCGGCCACATATCCGACATATCTATCCGGCCATAATGGTTATAATTTCTAGTCCATTTNGAAGTTATGGTGCTTCCAAATTTCGAAAAGTTAACGTATCATAGTAAAGTGACCAAACGATCTAGACAGCCGTTCTCGGCACCAAAACATACTCCATCATGTTGTTTAAGCATATTCTGGTGACTTCCTGTATAACCGGAATTGCTAGAAATCTGAAAATATTTTAAATGAAAAGAACGTAATTGATAATACTTAAATCTGCATTCTCAAATTTTTTATTTGGCCAGAAACCCAGAAACGTCTAATGACCGGTCTCGCTGAGACACCCTGTATAGTGTCATATTATTGAAGTCTCTTCAAAACCCAAACGATATTTTCCGATTCTGTGCACAGTCTTTTTTCAGCAGCATCTAGTCTTCTATTATTAGTAAGTAGTCATTTATTAGTAGTATCTAAGTCTTTACTAGCAATATCTAGTCTTCTACCAGTAGTAGGTAGTCTTTGGCGAGTACTATATAGAGCAATATCTGGTGTTCTGCAAGTAGTATATGCATCTATAGGGAGTATCTAGTCTTTTGTCAACAGTATTTAGTTCTCTACCACCAATATTTAGTTTTCTGCAAGTGAAACTTTTAATTATTGGAAATCTTTGAAAAACGTGTATTAAAGGAGTTCA